TCTCTGCTTATTGACCCGGTTACACTGCTGTATTTATCGGTGAGAAATACAGGCAGAGCTTTTAAACAACAAGGTTTAACAGTGTAGTGAGCCTAGAAAGGCATAACATAATGTGACAATCATTTAACTCATTAAGAGTCATAGATAAAACTAAGACAACAACTGAGCATATTAGATATGAATATATATATAACTATTTATTCACCCAGATGAGAGGGAAATCTGAAGCCTTCTGAAGATTTGGGTTTTTTAGCTTAACAGAGAAAGTTGGGTATTTCTGATTGTTCAAATAGGATTGTTATGAGATATGTTACAATTTGGACAATAGACCTTAGAGACCATTTTAATCTATCTGCAAAAAACAAATGTGTAGTTCAAGTAATGACAATTGCTTGTCAAGGTTGAAGCTTTTGGAACCACAGTTTAGTGGCTCTATATTTACAATGCAAATGATGATTACAGCACCAAATTAGTTAATCAAACAGTAATACAGGAGTTGAGAATACACTATGGAAAGAAGACCTTGTATATTTTAACAAGACAATGTCAAACCACATTCTGCACATATTACAACAGCTTGGCTCTGTAGCAGAAGAGCCCTGGCGCTGAACTGGTCTGCCTGCAGGTCTAACTTGTCACCTATTTTAAACACTTGGTGCAGAAAGATGCAGAAGATCTTTTGTACCCATAGCCATCAGACTTCATAATTCTTAGAGTAGATGACTTTTTGAGACATGACAAATGAGACTACAGACAAGTGAATTTCACTTCGAAGATAAATTTTTCTCCTTATTCTTAATGAAACAAAAAAAAAAAAAAAAAAAAAAGAATGAATAAATTATAATAATAAAAAAGACAGCTCTTCAGTGCTGAACAGCTAAAACCCTTTATCCTAAAAAAAAGAGGACAACAGTTTACTTTGGAAACTCCATAAACAGGTCTCTGAGTGTTGACAAAGTGTTGTTAAAAGAAGAGGTGATGCAACATGATGGTAAACATGTCCCGATCCCAACTGTTTTTTTTCAATATGTTCCCGGCACCTGATTTAAAAATTAGCTTCATGAAACAGTACACTTATTTACTTCTGTAAACACCAAACTTCTACTTTATGCTCAGATTTTATTGACATACAGAGCCCTTTCTGGAATGGGGGTTGTACATTGACCAGCACATTTTGTCCACTGACAAGTTAAGGGAACAGCCTTGGTTATCTCCTTGCAATGTCCCCTGTTAGTTAGAGAGACATAAAAGGCAGTAAACATTTTGTTCTTGAAGTTGATGTGTTGATAAGTGGACAAACATAAGGATATGAGCAACTTTGACATGGGCCAGAGCCAGACTGTGATGGCTAGACATCTGGGTCAGAGGGTGTCCCAATCTGCAGCTCTTGTTCTGATTAAAAAGTTTAGATTTATTTTAAAAAAAAAACTGCTGTCATAAAGGAAACCCCTCTTAAATGAACATACATACAATGAGGATTAGTTGATAAAACTAAAAACAACCTGTTAGTTTCAGACACCTTTGAACGATCACGTACTGCTGTCCCCCCCACACGTGTTCATGTTTATCCAACTAGCACATTGCTGGTAATTCAGCCTGTGCGTGCAGTACGTGATGGCATCACTCTGTGCTAGACTGACCATCTCCCCTCTGACCACAGTACTCAGAGGAAGTGTGGCAGCAGCAGCAGACCGTCTGCAGGGTGATGAAGTTTGAACAACCTTTCCCCTGATTTTGTGAGTGTCGATGTGGAAGCTTCACATGGACTCCATCAGTCAAAATCGAAAAACACTGGTCACCTGCATGGCCTTACTCCAAAATTACCCACAATGCACCAACCTGGCAACAAACCAAGGCACAGCACGTGTTTGTTTTTGTTCTTTTTTTAGCTGCCTGATACCGTCTTCACCTTTGACTGAGTAGTCATTCTGATTTTATTTCCTTTATCAGACATCACTTGGCGTAAATAAAGGTTGTATTTGAATTGACTCATTGCCTGGACACTTCAGGGAAGCAGGTGCAAAGCTGGTAACTTTCTATCATATAAGACTCAGGCTTTGGAAGGTTGTTTTTCTGGTTTGGAAAAACAGCAGGTAATAACCAGAAAACCTCATATGGTTGTATAAAGCAGAGGCAGAGAACTGGAATATATGAGGACTTAACATCAAGCTGAAGATGCACTAAAATAATCTGCTATCATCAACTTATTCAGAGTTTTTACATGTGCCAACTCGTTTTTATATAAACAACCTTTTTATACCACAAAAAGTTTTTTTTTCTTTTAAAGATGATTTAGTTCTAAACATTTGATGTCAGGGTTGTGCAGATGGCTGAGTAGGCAAGCATGCCCCACGTATCGGGACCATGGTCCCCACAGCTGTCAGGGGCTTAAGTCTGACACTCACCATGTGCTGCATGTCCTCCCCCCCTCTCTCTATCTCCCCACATCTCACCTTGTGCTATCAATAAAATAAGAAAAGTCAAAATTGCCCAGAACTTTTTGATGTCGGAGAAAAATGTTATCTGTCAAAAGATTACATTTTCTCGCGACAATTTGCAGAGTTCTAAAAGTTGATAGCAATCCATCGCAATTTAGTCTATTTAAAATGTTTTAAGTCTGTTTTAGCAATATAACGCTATCATTCTCATTGCACCGAAACATACTTGATGATCTTGATTTTTAAAGTATTATTCAAATGAATGCTGCTCTTGTACACCTGTGAGGTCTTGGGGGCAGAGACAGCTTCGTTTGTCAGGAAACAAATATGAATTTATTGTGTTTGATTTATTTAAGAGAATTATATTGTCACATATCAAAACATATGCATATGCATGAGTAGTCAGTGTGGATATGATGTGCAGTAACTCTTAGTTACCTGTTTTTTTCAGGTCCTGCATGAAACTACAGGGATATGCCAATCTGAGGACATCTGTCAGATCTGTGCCAAAGGTCTGTGGTGAGTTGCACGCTTAAAAATAGAGCTCTGCCACTTTTGTGAAGCAGGCACTTACTGACATCAGTCTGGTTTTCTCCACCAGTATGCCCAGGTAATAGGTTTTAGCTTAAACTTGAAGGATTTTTTCAAACCTATTTGACACAGAGTGCATATTGTTGTTACAGTACTGTTTAAAAGCACTGTGATGTTTCTTTTTACCCATCAAACCTATGGTGTGCTAAAAGGGGGGAAAAGTGCATGTAATAGGAAAAAAGGGACCAGACTCTCACTTCCTCACAATTAACGTGTTAACATTAACAGCCTTGACACAAGTAGAATATAGATGGCTTCTTTTCTTTTCTTTGAAACACTTTTTTTCATTTTTATCTTTTAACCAGTTTTCTTAAAAGGAAAATGGGTTACACGGAGCTGCTGTGAGGAGTTTTGGACTTTTTGACTAATATAGGTAGAAAAAAAGACCATCAGCAACAATACTGATGTTTTTTATGTCTTAGTTATTAGCGCTTGAAACTAGTTGCAAGAAGGTAAGTAAGCTGAGCAGCGATTGAAACAGTCTTGTTTTTACATTTTTGTCAGAAGATACTTTTTCAGTATGTTAAGGATGAGATACGTAGAGACTTATCTAGGGGCAGCAGTAGCTTAGGAGGTAGAAGGGTTGACCAATAACCGGAAGGTTGGCAGTTCGATTTCCCCCTATCCCGAGTCTGTTCGTTGTGTCTTTGGGCAAGACACATAACCCATCTTGCTCCCAGTATGTGTCCTCCACTGGTGTATGGTTGTGAGTGTTGTGTGCTGGTGGTTGGTAGCCACGTTTCCCTGACTGTGTGAGCGAATGAATGATGTATCCAATGTTAAGTGCTTTGCGTGTCTCTGATAAAGCCCTACATAAAATCTGATGACTTATTATCTGCTTTAAAGGAACAATACAAACATTTTATAAATAAATAAAAAATAAAAATGTAAAGATAAAACCTGCCACTAAAACTCAAAGATAACATTTGGATTAAAAGTACTGATTTCAGCAAATTGAGATACATCCATGAACCTTCACACTCATGCCCATACGCACACACTCAACTCTCCCCCACCCAACGCCTTCGATGCTTCACCCCTCAGTGCGGTGGGTGGTACCCTGACTGGCAGTGCCCGTGGGCAGCGGCTGTGGGCTTCCCACCGTCACAGATGACCCATTCCACTACCTCCCCCCCTCTCCCTCCCACTTGTGTGTACTTTCCCCATCTGTAAACGCAATTTCGTTGTGCACAAGTCACAATGACAATAAAAGACCATACCATACCATACAGCATGGCTGATATCTTTGCTGCACAGTTTTAACTGGAGGGACATCAAGAGTTCCCAAAATGTTGCAAATAAGTAAAATGGCTCCATTTCTCTTTGCTGCTGGACAGAAAGATTCACAAGATCTTTTGTACCCACAGCCATCAGACTGTTTGATTCTTCTGTAAATAGTAGATGACATGGATGACACATAGGACTACAGACGATTACATTTCCCTTCGGAGATGAATAAAGTTCTTCTTATCTTGACTTATTCTTATCTTATGAGTACAAATTTGTCGCTGAAACAGTCAGAATTTGGTTACTCTCTTATAAATGATGAAGTTAGCAAGTTTCAGGCTTTTGTTCCTATCAAAAAACAGATGTCTGAGCTAAGAATGAAACTTTTACAATCACCACTTGAAGAATCTGCTGCAGCTCTGTAGTCTTGTTACATATTTGCAGAAAAAAGAGTTAGCAGGATAATACATCCACATGAATTATGCATGAGTGTGACACAATGCACACAGCAGTCGATACAAACCCACTTTCTGAATGCTGCACATGTCTGAGTGGAGTTTCAGTAAGAACAAAAGCAAGTGTTGACTGTGCAGAGAGCCTGCACACAACTGGGTCAAAGTTTCTGGCTCACAGTCTGGTTGTTTGGCTCAGAGTGACTGAACTGCGTGCTTCATGAATATTCAGCTGCTGTCACCGAGTGGGTGGAGGGAGCAGAACTATAAATGACCCAGACTTCCAGTAAAAGAGTAATCAGCTTCAAACTGAGACTCTTGAAAACGAAGAACCTGTGACAAGAAAAAAAGGAGCAGGAGAAAAAAGGAGGAAAAAAAGCATTGTGAGTATTTTTCTCTCATAAAAAATCAGTGTTTAAATGAGTATGTTTAGTAAAAAATATTTGACAAATGCAGGACTTTTTTGTCTTGTTTGCACTTATCCACAATTACTTTAAGGTTTATGCATTTATTTGAATTCTATTATGGCCTGTGCTTAACCTGCTGCATAATCTCAGAGGCAAAATGGTTGATTACTTGTTCTTTGGTTGGTTTCTAAGAAAATCAAAAGCACAGTATTTACTACACAGTGATAGAAAGGAAACATTTTTTTTTGCAGGTTTCAGACTTATTTCTCAAATATCTTAACTGTTTTTGAATTGTTATTTTTTTAGGTCAACACTGCATCTCAGCCTAAGCAAAGTTGGTAGAAATGGAAAACCTGCAGGAACTGACCTCCTTCGCCAAAGAGATGATGAGTCAGAAACCCAGCCGGGGTCTGCTGAAGGTCTACCTGGTGGGTTCTGTGTTTGCAGTCCTGGGGACTGTCATTGGCCTGGTGGAGACCGTGTGTCACCCTTTCTCCTCTGGTGAACCCATGGATGCAGAGATGCTCCTGATGCTGGCCAAGGAGCAGAGGACTGTGGAGGCTGGTTTACAGGACATTGAGGGCAGCCAGGAGGAAGAGGAGGAGGAGGAGGAGGAGGTGAAGAAGAACAAGGAGGAGGCATGTGAAAACAGTGCCACAACCAAGAGCGTGACCCTGTCCAAGAAACATGGACTCGGCCAAAGGAGCCTTTCCAACAGACTTCACGCGTCCTAAAGCTAAAAGGGTTGACCCTAAAAGACTCAAAATATTTATTAAACAACTGCTGAGTTGTGCAACAAAGACTGAAGCTTCATAGACAGCTGAAATTGTGAGCAGCCTGCTTATTAATGATGCAGATAAGTGCTGTGGGAAATGTGTCTTTGCACGCCCTAATGCATGACAAGTGAGGTTATGTTAGGGCACTCAAACTGACTTAATAGCTCAGAAATCCCTGCAGCGATACTTCATATGTAAAAGGTGAATTGCACATTAACTATCGGGTGTTGCAGCTCCACAAGTCTGCAGACGACACTGTTGAAAATCTTGTAAATGAAGGTCCTGTAGAGTTATTTCGTGGGGGAAAACCTACAAATGTCTCCCACATTCGTCCATGGAGTAGACATCCTCCAACAAGAAGTGGCTGATGCTTCATGAAAAATTTGTTGTTGGGGATGAAACCTCCATCAGGCCTTAAAACTACTACAACTCTCATCATTTGTCTTCATAAACAGACTTTTCTGGTTCCTGAAAGTAAAAATAATTAGGAAGCAACCATGCACAGTGCTTTTTGTTCACATTTTCCGTTAAGTCAGGACTTTAGAGTTTGTGGTCTGTAGATTTTTAAGTGTACCTAAATGCAGCATGGTCTAAAAAGTCTCCATGGTGGGTAAGCTGCTGTGTGGCGCCCTCCTTTGTTTGACCCATGCACTTGATCTGCAGCTGCATCTACAGTACATACTGTATCCAAGTGAAGGTGGACTAATGTCAATGTTATGCTGCGCATGATGAGCAAATACTGTAACTATACATATTTTTCATACAAATAAAATGCTTTTTTAATGAAATCCATACCCATGATGGTTGACTTCTTGTTTTATTAAATCATAGCCTGTGGTTATGAGTTCTGTCACTACACACAAATAGATATATTCTTTTAAAAGGCCTATGTTTTTCATAAATGATAGCCTCTATTATTAAAGTAATATATGTTTGATATAGTAAAAGAAGCATAGTAAAATCCCACTTCCTAAAAAGATGGGATACTGTACGAAATAAAGCTTGTATATCAAATTATATCGATACATATAAAAAAATCCAATCGAATTTTCTAAAATCACATAAAGCCATTAAAGAAGGTATCAGAAAGGAAATATAAAGTCTGAAAAAATTCATGATATTTCCCTTTTAGCATCAGGATTTACTTGTGGACTGATTTTTTTTTTTGTCTCCAGTGCTGATCTGGAGCAGTTTGTGGTAGTCTATGGACAGAGGAGGCACTTTGCTGCAAATAAACTTAAGCTGTTTGCACATTTTGGAGTGCGTCAGATTTTTGCTGTTGGGCCACAGTTGTGACCAAATCTGTCACAGTGGCGTGTTGCAAGCATAGACTGTATCTAGAATGGATGCCGTCTGCCTCCTCACTGGGTGAAGCCACTCTGAGAACAGCACACTCTGGTGATGGGCTGCAGTATAGGTCAGAAATCCCACCTCCGCCAGCAAGGCTTGTGGGGCTGTGGACAAACTTTAGAAATTAATTAGACAGAACAATCCCCCCTTGTGATTTGACATGTAGTTACTGTGAGACTGGTTTGTGCTGTGCTGGCACTGGGATCTGAGGGTTCGCCCCAGGGGCAGGCATTGGGAGCTAGAGGTCTGCCCCAGAAGCAGATGGACGAGCAGTCACTGGGAGCTGGAGGGTGTCCCAGGAGATGATCAAGGAGCAGGCACTGGGAACTGGGGGTCCGTCCCAAGAGCAGGCACTGGGAACTAGGGGTTGTCCCAGGATCTGATCAAGGAGTAGGCACTGGGAACTGGGGGTCCGCCCCAGGAGCAGGCACTGGGAGCTAGGGGTTTACCCCAGGGGCCGATCGTGGAGCAGGCACTGGGATCTGAAGGTTTGCCCCAGGAGAAGGCATTGGGAGTTAGAGGTCCACCCCAGAAACAGATCGAGGAGCAGGCAATGGGAGCTGGGGGTCCGCCCCAGGAGCAGGCACTGGGAGCTAGGTGTCTGCCCCAGGAGCTGATGGAGGAGCAGGCACTGGGAGCTAGGTGTCTGCCCCAGGAGCTGACGGAGGAGCAAGCACTGGGAGCTAGGGGTCCGCCCTAGGAGCTGTAGAGAAGCAGGCACTGGGAGCTGTGGGTCTGCCCTAGGAATCGATCAAGGAGCAGGCACTGGGAGCTAGGGGACCGCCCCAGGAGCCAATTGACTTTTGAAAACAATTCTTCATTGAGATATTTACCTTAAAAAACACGTTATTTGTGCCAAATACCTTATGCGAGTTCGGCTCCACCCCTTATGCCATCAACATTAGCAGTACAGAACATGAGTATTTTACTTCTGAAAACAATTCTTTGTTATTTACCTTACTGTTTCATCTGCAGATGTTTGGATGTGAATTTCTCTTGTTTTTTTGTGGACATGCTCATGAAACAATAAACCTTTCAAGTCAGTATGACAGAGTGATGCAATTTAAATTCTGATTTAAATTACATCTGTCCACCCAGCTGTTCAACAACGGCGGGTCCTGGAGCAAGACGGGGAAAAAAAAAATGCGGTTTCACAAGCACCTCTTGTCTTTGTGTCTTCATTGACATACAACACAGGCACTGACATACAACATACAGGCATAGGCATACAACATACAGGCAACACACAGGCATTGACAAACAACATACAGGCATTGACAAACAACACAGGCATTGACATACAACACAAAGGCATTCAAATACAGCACACACATTCCCAATGAACCAACAGAAACAGGGGAAGGAAGGGATTATATATGCACACAGGGAAATGAGCAACGAGAAGCAGGTGAGACACCCGAGACAGAGGTGCAGACAATCATTAAGGAGGGAAAACTGAGGAAGTAAAACAAGACTAGAAACACAGGGAATAAGCTACTTCAAAATAAATCAGGAAACACTGAAAACTGAAACAAGCAATAAAACACTGAGAACATAAGGGAACCAGAAGCAAACACAAACTGAAATCTCACAAGACAGGGGAACAGGAACAACTGGGAACAGGAACATGTTCCCAATTTCACAAAGAAAATACACTCCAGTGAAAAACTAACTTAAACTGAACATATCATGACAGTTTGTCAGATTGCACTGTGAAGTCTACAGCACATCAAGCTTCGTCTCACTGTAACTTTTACTGGAATGAAAAATGATGCAGAGTGAACATCCCAGTGTCGCAGCATCAATAAGTCCAATCAAAACACAACACTGGCCACTGTAAAAACTGCACTGAAAATACACACAGTAAAAGATGCATATTTCAATACAACAAAACAAAACAAAAGACTCAGCCTTCTTTTCACTCTAATTGCAAAATCAATTCTTGCACCTGAATTTTTCCTATTTCTGATTTTGCAAATGATGTTGCACTACTTTGTTTATTGTGGTTTTCACATTGTTTTCATGGCAAAGATGAATTGTGAATTTTAAAAACGCATTCAGAATTAGCACTGAATGAGCCTGAGCTTGTAAAACCTTTATCACTGAGCTCCAGTTGTGCACAAGTTTAGGCAGTATTGGTCAAATCACTGCTAACTGACCCTGACCCCAAGTTTTTTTTAGATTTTATTGGCCATCTGGACTGCTCAGCTGACTCACCCACAGATCAGGCCGAGTGGTTCACTGAGATAGCACTATGACAATAGGACAATGCTGCCTGACACGTGAACATGAGTGGGGAGCGGATATAACCCTGAGTCAACAGGATACTCTTTGAAGCAAGAATAGATTGATCACTGACTTTTCTGAGGGTTGAATTGGTTGACCTTCAATCCTCTGAGTGCAGAAGACTCAAAGGGTCTGTGATCACTGTGGGTGATTCAGCTGGAGAGTAAGGACAAGCTCTAGACCTTTAAATGGTCAGTGACAGGATTGACGGTTGTTTGAATAGGATCATCATGCTGTTGGAATTTCTTTTTTTGTTTACATTTTTTTGTTAAACTATTTTTCTAATCCAAACAGGTTCAAGTCTGATTAGTTCTTAATGTACACATGTACAAACAATTTGTGTATTCCCTTTATTTCCTGTATTTCCTGTAGAGCATTACTGCCACCAGCTGGACTACAGTGAAACAAAGGAGGACATTAAGAACGTCTAGTTATATTTTATAAAAACAATGAAAACGTTACATTAAAAACGCTACAGTTTGATTATTTATCCTCATAAATAAAGGCTTTATTCTTGCAGAAGGTCTTTAATTTTTTTTCTCAATGTGGCACGTTTTTGGCTAAAAAAAATCCCAATGTTTAAACAAAAAAACTCTTATTCTGCAGGGATCATTTTCAGAATGTTATCGGACTCTTATGGTCTGAGCTTGAGGATTCTGTTGTTGCCATTGCAAGCAGTTGCAGGCTGAAGTAATTTACAGAAACAATTAACAGTCTTCGGCTATGTTCACACTGCAGGTCAATTTTGATTTTTTAACTATATGTGACACATATCAGATTTTTTCATGTAAGTGTGAACAGTGCAATTCTGATTTTTTCAAATCTGACCCAGGCCTCTTTTGTATGTGGATATAAATTGGATATGTATCCGATGTGAGTGCAGTGTGGACTCTCAGGCACGTTCAGACGACCTATATGTCATCAATATGCGACAAACGTCACCATTGTTCGACAACACAAACAGGCGCAGAAAGCAATTTGTGCTTTCTGCATTCTGTTCACATTAGATGCTGCATTCGTTGTAATGTGAATGACCGCACAGGCCTAGGTGTCATTTTATCAGACTGTTCAAATCGAAGGATTTGAAAGGTTTATTGCTCATGTGTGGTGTTGATGCTCTGACTTTATGACATATATGTTAAAATATCTTAAACCCACTTACCAGAAGCCAATATTGCAGTGATTGAAAGCAATGTTTGTAATAATGATACATGTTAAGTGTTTAATTATTACAGCTTGAGTTTCCTGCCTAACTACATTTAGGTTTCACTATCTACACCCAGATACATTGAAGTGGGAGTTTGAGAATCGTCCCTTAAATCTTTAAAGTAAATCCTGGAAAAACATTTCAAAGTTTAAGTGTTTTTATTTTCCTCTTCAACAAGTCAAACATCATGTCATGACCACAGCTGCTGAAGGATTTCTGGTTTAAATACTTTCACAAAATTATGAACCCCAGAGTTTAACCAGGGGTCAAAAAGTCAATACCAGAAAGTCAAAGCCGAGTGACAAAAGAGTGGGCAGAGTCTTTCTCTCTTTCAAAGAAACAGGGATTTGAGTTGAAAGGTTGCCAGTGGAGACGAAAGGCAACACACACAGTGTGAAGCTGCTGAATCTTTGCCAAGTCCTCCTCAGAGTCAGCCAACCAACCTCAGTCTGAGTTTGATGAAGAACAACAGGCTGTACGGACCTGCAGACAACAGCATGATTACATCCGGGTTTGAGCTGTGAGCTTTACGGCCGCCATGTGTGGTACAAATAACTGAATGGACCTCTAACAGCTTTAAATGACCAGAAAATGTGACAAGCATGATGTGTTAACGTGAGGAAACTAACTTTTCCATTTTTACTGGGTTTAGAGCTGAACTAACAATGGCATGTATTTTTTAATCATTATGAGAAATTTAGTTCTTTTTTGTGTGTAATATCTCTGTCAATGTCAGGTGACAGGCTAAAATCAAGTCCAATACGCCATTTTTGTAAACTTAGAGGTAAGACAAAACACTAACTACAAGCAGCAAAGACCCCCAGAGTTCAGAACAGAGTAGATATCAGTGAAAATAGACAGACTGGTGCTAAAATTATTGCTGAGCTTGACTTCATAGTGGAGAACCATTATATTCATTTTGTGCCTTACTTAAATGAGTTCATGTTTTCTATGATTGACACTTGATACAGCCTATTGGCGTAAGAAGATTGCATAGTTTACCCGAGGGATACGCTGTTTGAGCTGAGCATCATCACAGCGACTCTCATGCATACAATGCTACTGCGCAAGTGGAGGTTCCAGGAAGTGGAGAAAATCCCAGAAATTCCGAGAGCTTTTCTGTATACTTCAAATCTGTATTCTGGCGGAAGGAGTAACACAGTCTATGAACGTAACGCAATGCAACGCAACATAACATAACACAGTGCAACGCAACGTAACTTGACGTAACGTTGCATAATGTAACAAATTCTTGCCAAAAATGTTGCAGCGTCTTACATTTGGGTCAGTTATTAAATTTGGGTTGTATTACTTTTTTTCAAAATTCCTTTTTGTGCCCAACACTTTTTTTACATTATTGACAAATTATTAAATTTCAGATGTTTTTATTATTATTATTGTCATTTTTAACATTTTTAACAATCATTTTTACATATCGGGCTCTGACAAGACCAACCCCAGCCACCTGCAGGCTCATCTTGGATTAATCCCAACTCCTGTTTATCTTACTGTGAGAAACTTTTCCCAATATTAAGTCTTCACAAGTGCCTGCTGTGATTTTCAGTATTTATTCAATGACTGGACGCCTTTCTCAGTGTGTGCAGGCTGAGTAAATGAATACAGACTTGCTGTGAGTGAGATGTATGTTCAGCTGCACGTGTGTTCCTGTACAGTCTGAGCAGAAAGCAGACAGATTAAGTAGTCTGCATACTTAAATGTGCAGTACCCTAGCAACACGGCAAGTCAGAAACACAGTTTGTTTAAGCATATGGACTGATTTCCTTTAAAGAAGGGAGGGAGGGGAGGCTACGTAGCACCTGCATCCAGACAATGTCAAAAAGAAATTTGCCTGATAGAGACATGAACACAAGCTGCCCGTAACATAGAGCATCAATTTAAGGAGAAGAAAATATCAATAATATTTTGCAAATCCTTTTCCACCGATACTCAATTGACTACACTGCAATCATCGCCTAAAGTTGATCTGCGTATTATCTGACCATTCAATTATTCCATTCACTGTAGAAAAGAAAAAACTAAAAAACGAGTCTACATTTTGCTTATTTGTTTTTCTCTATAACCAAAAAATTAAAGATTAGTGTTTGCTTTCGTATTTTCAGTTCAACACAGAATATATAATAGAGATGGAAACAAAAACAAAATAATAAATCTACTTTTCATTTTCATGTTATTGACGTCCCCATTTCCCACGGTGCCTTTCTACTGTTCACACATGCGCATTGCGAAACAAAGTAGCCAACAACGTGGACCAAAAAACTTTTTTGGTTATACAGAAAAACAAATAAACAAAATATTGACCCATTTTTTTTTGTTTTTTGTTTACTAGATTGAATGGAATAATTGAATGGACTGATAATACATGGACCAAAATTACCCTTGTTGTTTTTGCAAGTTAAAGCTTGTACAGCAACCACTGTTTTTTCAGACTATGAAACATGTTGCCCACATGTGATAACACCAGAGTTGATAAAACTCATTTTATTTACAAACACTTCAAATCAGCAGGCATGGATGGCAACCTAATGTTTCAGACTTAATAATTAATTATATCAAGTCTTCCCTGCTGAAACAATAGCAGCTCAGAAACGACACTGCAACAGCCTGTGAGTGGTTTAAATGGACAGCTCATCAGGACAGTGAAAAATGGCAAATTTATGGTGGGTCGAGTGAAATGACTAAAAGTGTGATTAATATTTACACATTCGGAGTCAAAGGCCATTACACCTGATCTGTTTTTTTTAATCCTCTTATCAATTAAGGGTTTTGAAGTAGATGAGGTTCTGTTACTTAGTGGATAATTACTCTGAAAGCATAAAATTCAGGTCAGTTGATTTACACTTTTTTAAACCTCAGGCAGGTTACAGCGCAAGAAAACCCAATCACAAGAAAGCAGATGGATGGATTCTCTATATTTTGTACTCATACACAAATGGAACACTAAAAAATTGCCTTCATTATACTGTTGGGGTTAGGATTAGAGATGAATCAACTTCATGGTCATTTTATGCATAAATGGGGCTTTTATTTTGAAAGAAACATCTGACATTGAGTTCAATTTGTCCTTTTCTTTGTAAGTGTAGAAGATTTTGTAATTTGAAATAGACAATGTTGAAACAGTTTTGCTACAAAAGGAGTAAAAAAGTGGAAAAACGGGTTGTTACCACAAAGTTTTTAGTCTTTTAACATCAACACACTTTGTTCTCCGTGATCCGATGAGAATAACAGAAGACTGCTGAGAGGAGAGTGGAGAAAGTTTGAAGGAATTTCTCACACAGAGAGCAGCTGCTGTCACCAGGTGGGGGACTCTTTGTCTTTCTTCTCAGCAGGTGTCTGAGGGACACTTTTGGCCAGAGCTGAAATCTCTGCACTGAACTGCAAGGGTAGAAAGTTACTTCAGAGTAGAAGAGCAGTTTTATTGCAGTTCAAACAAAGGCATGGCTAAAAACTGCCCAAACTGTAATCTCTTGTCTCTTTATCTGCAGAGCATTTAAGACTGCACCATCCAAACGTCAGAAGCAGTCTCTGTAGCCACAAATGTAAGCTTACACTGAAACAAGTTGTGTGAATGTTTTTGTTTTGAAAATCTTGTCCACTGTCTTCTTAGGATGCATTCACACTGTTTACGTAGCCCACACCTTGAACCCTGCTTCACCTCTGTGCAGTCTTTTTTTTCCTGCACCACATTTAAAGCGCAGAGAAAAACTGTTTAACCAGAACCAATGAAAATAAAGGTCTTGTTTTTATTAGCTGATCACAGCGTAGCATCAGCAAGCTACACCCACATCTTTGTGTGCAGACATGATCAACCTGACAGAACCTCTCCTCTAAACAGTAGCCACAGTAATGTTTTCCTCCGCACTGTTGGCATTTGCAGGCGCCCCCACCAGGGTCCCATTCGCTGGTGTGTGTGGCGTGACTTTGGCCAGTCGGTGCTCCTTGCTGTGCATGCAGCTTTGGGCGCAGAGCTGGCAGGATGAGCAGGGAACGTTGCAGCAGGGTAGAAAGCGACAGATGCTGATGCGCCACAAGAACCAGCCGGGCGACCAGCAGCACCAGCAGAGCACCAAGCCGCCAGCCACCACGCCCAGGAGGATGTACAGGATCAGCAGGGACAGGGAGGCCGGAGAGTCTGAGGGAAAAAGAGGCAAAATAGATCTATCTTTGTACAGGTGGGACATATTCATGTCTTATCAGTGATTTCACTCTGTCACTTTGTGACGACATGCACTCAAGAGATCACATACAGAGAGATTGACTCTGCTTTGGGTTCTGTGTGAGTATAGACCATAGACTGTATGACAACTGGATGTAGCATCTTTGACATCACCCATTTGTATGTGAAGCAGAGTTTTAAAGCCTAGCAACATCTGTCACCATTAGGGTTGGGCATCGAGTCTCGAGCATCGATGGGGACCGGGACTAACATTCCGATTCTCCCGGATTCGTTCAAATTTTAAAATTTTGATTCCAAGTTTTGATGCCGGAGTCCGCCGACCGGAAGAAATAGCCGCCAAACAACAACGAAGAAGAAGCCGTCAAGACCAATGAGAACGAAGCATATGAGACGAAGCCACACACAGAGAGAAGAGAGACAGAGAGAGAGAGAGAGTGCATTGCAACCCACAGCCACTGCGGTCAAAAGTTTGGCTAACTTTAGCAGGAAGAGTGAACTTTTATCTCTGTGCAGTTGATTGATTGCAGTCATTCAAAATCAGACGATACTCAACCCTAGTCACCATATTGGTAATGCTGACTCGATCTCGCTTTTGGTCAACCTGCCAGAGTCTTTGACCTCTTCAAAAAATGCTGCAGTGTGTTTCAAAAGTATTTGGGTTACCTGATCGGCAAATCAGAGGCATGGCATGGCTTGACTGACAGGTGGGCACACTGTAACCATTGGCGAGAGGGGTTGACCTGAAGTTAGGTTATCTAGTTATGAAGCACTCAAAGGTCTACCTGTGGCTAAAGCCCCCCACATACAGACTGTGTGTGCCGTTATTATTTCAAGGTCATGCAAAGGAGAAATTTTGTGATGATGGTTACGAACACTTTAACTGTTTGTGGCTTTGTTTTTGCAATGCACCTTGCATGCACTAACAGAATGCACGATGGCTCTTTTGAATTTATGCAAACTTTTAGACTAAAAGGATTTGAAATAATAACCTGCCTCTAATACAAGCCTGCGTCATATAAAGGTTTTGCACAAGGCAAATGTCATAGCCAGCCTGGGGATTTATAAAGTTGGTTTGAGTTCCTTTATTTTATTGCTAAAATCAGTTTTAATACATAGAAAAGTATGAAAAAATGCTCAACCAAAATATTTCTCTCAGTTTTTGTTCCTCTGATGTGCAGTGATGGTTTTAGCTCACTGACTGATGCTCTTTCAGTAGATTCCCAAAGACTCTGCGTCTCCTGATATCTAATCTTTCCTGAACCTCGTCTCCTCTGTGTTTGCCTTCCAGTGGCGCCCTCTCAACTTTGATTTCTTACTATCTAAATAAAAGAAGGGAGAAAGTACAGTCAAGTCGTAACTTTTTACAACATCCTTCTCTAGTGAGCCACAGTGGCTCTGCTCTGAGTGTCAGGACTGGTGCTTTAACAAAAGGACCTGTCTTCATGAAATCGCAAATGTAGAAAAGCGTGTTACAACTACAAACGAGGAGGAAATGTGTTTCCCTTGGAAATGACTCTCTTAAAATGCAAACTTACTCTTGCACATTTTTTAGACTTTAGACAGAGGGTTATGAAGAGTTACGACTTTAGAGGAAGCCACCAAGCTTTGGGCTCAGACACATAGTTGACAGAGAGTCAAAGAGCACTCAGAGAGAGACTTACTAACTATTGGAGGAGATTTGATGCTGAAAAAAAATTTTTTTCATCTGTACTAATGAGACATCTGGTACCAGTCCCCCAGGGAATACATTCATGAAAGTGCCAGGTTGGGCGGTTTTGGGTCCAATTGTGTGGATAAACCTGGGCCAGGTTTGTTTGTTTGTTTGTTTGTTTGTTTGTTTTCCATAATGAACAGGGTAGGGTAACAGCTGGAGTGTGACACGGGGAGATTTTCAGGATTTCAGAGCATAGGCAAAAGCAGTGCTTCAGCCATGAAACAGTGTCTGGATTGTGTTGAACACTGGAGTTTTAAGGCCTCAGGACTGTCATTTTCAGGTGAGTTTGTGATCTCTGCATTACCAAGCAAGTCTGAACTCTCATGATTATCTTATGTCTGCAGCTTCTTGTTGGGCTTCAATGTTTTGGTTGGGCTCCGGGGTTCTTACTGTCCCCGCACACCAAGTAAGAGTAATATCATTCGCGCGACTGAATTACATGTAAAGTCAATGCAAAGACGCAATTAGACACCCCTACTACTCTGGTGGCGCAAATGACGCAGGATAGGCAAGCTGAAAATGTCTTAACTTGAGCGGGTAGTCACGTCCCGATAACCAATCAGCACAAAGGTGATGCATGAAAGCAGATGGTTGTTCACTGGTATCTAAAACGGAGGACAAACTGATCGTCAATTACCGAAACCGGAATAAAAAGGAGCTTGCCTGGAGGCAAGTGAGTGAGGAGGTCGGATTACCTGGTATATTGTAAAAAACCTTTATCTATCACTTGATCCCGCTAGTTAAATTGGCAGTGATTACTGTTGAAATTACCGTTGACGCGCATATGAAGCAAGTAAATACTTTTCATTCATGCGTCTAGTTTCGTGCAAATTAAGCGAGTAGATGATTTTACGCACGCTTGGTGTGAGTGCCCCGTTAGATCTGAAGCAGGATCATCTGTGATGTCAATTACAGTTGTTAATCTGGAGAGTTTAAAGTCTGCCAGTCCACTTTACCAGTATGATGTAATTTCAGGTTCTGATTTCAGGTGGGCCTTGGGTGGAGGGTGGTTTTGGTCTACACGGTTGCTTTGCAGGTGAAACTTTTGATTGAGGTAAGATCCCACAAGGAAGCAGAAGGTCTCTGTCTAACGCTCTGACAGGGCAGTTTTTATTTTCAGGTCTCCAACAGATAAATCGTATGCATAACATGGGAGTTGTTTTTTCCTGATCCTTCACAGTTCGCAGCATGTCCGGCAAAGTACGATTAAACCTTTCTACTGGATTTCCTCGAGGATGAAAGGGGTAGTCCTTATTTCTTGGATTCCAGTTATTTCACTCAACTTCTTTATCACCTGTGACTCAAAATACTTTTAAAACGTTAAGAAATCCATGCAGACAAGTTCCAAAGGTCTTGTGTCTTTTTGCTTTTTCAGACAGAGACTTTCTTTTTACACATCTTCAATAACTTTTTTCTTTTCTTTCAACATCGACAGACATTTGTAGACAAAAGAATCCGACTCAGACCAAGAGTGTACAGTAATTTGTTTTGTTTTGTCTGGAGCAAACCCGCATTTCAAGTGGGATTTCAAGTATGAACGGCTTTTGTGAAGATTGAATATGTCTGCTAATCCGGCCTGTGGTGCCTCACCCCCACCAGGCTCTCGAGGACACACTGTTGGATCTCAGCTAATAGACATTTGGCAATTTGCTCAGCAGATGAATGTGATTCCTCTCCTCAGGCTCTCTCTCGATCAGTCAGAAGAAAAGAAAAGCTGTTTTGTTAAAGGAAAGTTGGCAGAGTCTTAAAAGCAATCAGACTCTGTCAGTCTGACTCAGTCGGTCTCTGTTTGCTCCTCTGACACTGGAATAGAGACAGATCACTCAAAAGGCTGCTCTCCGTCCTGACAATCCATCGACTTTTATTGGTTTACGGGTCTTTAGCAGGAATGAACAACTCAATGGCGGTCTCTATTAGTTTTACGCCTGCTCATCAGGACGCTTTGCATCCAAATGAGTACTTGGCGACTCGTTTCACAACAAACTGCCTGCAGGATAAGACCACTGGACATTACGCGTTGATGGGTGCTCCAGCTGGTTCTTACAAGCTATTTAGACAAGATTACGTCCAAGAGGACACACCTGTTACTGACTCGTGACTGGGAGTGCTGTCCGGCATGCCGCAGTTCATATGTGAAGCCATCTGCACAGTGGGTGGAGTCACAACTGGTGGAGGTTGGGTTGGTAACGCTGGTAGAGGTTCAGGAGGTAAAAGCTGACCTTCTGAAAAGCAAAATAAGTTCAGGTCATCAGTTGAATGGAAACGTAAAAAAAAAGCCCCCAACAATGAACTAAAATAACAGAGCTAACATCCAGGTTTTAAAAAGTTTTAAGCTCAAGTTTTCAAGCCTTAGTTGTGCGATTCTGTGGGTGCTTCAGCGAAAAAGACAGTATGATATATTTGATTATGCATATATATAAGTATATAGCAAGGGGGCAATATAGCAATTCATTTCAGTGTCTTCTCATCTTCACACTGACCTTTGCAGCCTGTGGTCAGGTTTTCTTCCAGATCACTTCCGTCCCCACAGTTGTCGATACCTTTTTCATCACACACCAGACTAAGGGGGATACACTTCCCATTCCTGCATGTGAAATAAGGTTCGCTGCTGCACTCTGAGTGGTTGAAACCTGAAGAAACAGATTTATTGTACATCATGTTGTTTTTATTGCAACTTGAAAATCATTGAAGGACGACTCTTATTTATGTTGTCCAAGAAAGAGAAGACCAGTTAACAGGACAGAAAATACAAAGTATTAAACAATTAACTTTAACAGTTATTATCAGAAGTAGTTTAAGTCTTGATGACAGACTTAAAAACACAAAGGGGGACCAAAGTCTTTATTTTTATGGTGCATTGCAAAAAAAAGAAAAATGTAGATTTTTTGGGACTTGGTTGGTGGTTAAATGGTCTATTTGTACGATGTTTAAACACTAGTTTATCATCAATCTAGATACTGAAATATTTACTCCCTGTAGCTCTACTCATGTAAAGTAGAATTACAAAAGTCTTGAGAACCAATTCCCCTGCCCCATGCCAAAATACAGTACTTTACTTAAAAGACAACAGGATTATTAAACCACAGCCAGTCCCTAAAAACTCTGTGATAAACCGGTCTTTAAAAGCACATCAGACCCACCCTAAAATTTCATGGCACTAGACAATGTGGGCTGGGATTGCTCCATATGAACTCTTACAAACCTTGACAAGATAAGGAACCTTAAATTAGATCTTTGAAATGATTTTTCATTATATACTTTTCAAAGGTAACACATCAGTGGATAAAAACAAAATCACATATTTATATTTCTTACCCAGTCTGAAGGAGGTAAAGTCCCCCACAAAGTCCACTCTGGGCTGAGTTCCCCGGGTGACCAGTCTCAGGGTCAGGTAGTTTCCTGTGGACAGGACAGGTCGTGGCGGGCTCTTCCCACAGAGAGGAGGCCCGAGGGGAGGAGAGTTTTTGTCCCGTCCATCATAGAACTGGACATATGAACCGGCGTGACACGGGTCATCAAAGCTCTCACCAGAGGTGGGCTCAAGTCTGGGGTTCAAAGGGGCGGAGCCACGAGGGGACTCTGGGATGACAGGGGCGGGGCTCAGAGGGGCCACTCGCAGCAGACTGTAGACTAAGAAGAAGCGGAAGTGGAACTGGACCTTGTCTTTGGGGGAACTGGCCTGCATGGTGAGGTGGCAGTCGGTTGTTGTGGCAACAAAGTAATACTTCTTGGACTCTTGATGAGAGTTGACGATCATGCCGTCACCCCGGATCGTCTGACCGCAGAAGTCCACCACATTCACTGACATGAAAAAGACAACAGGGAAAATCTGAAATATGGAACATTTCTGTAATAAAACAGCCGAACTCTACACTACAGGTGATCACATCATTAATGAGTCAACCAGTTATTATGTGTACAGCCCCAAATAATGACCCAAGTTATCACAAGACACTACAAAAAGAGGAGCAGGGGAACTCCAGCAGAATCACTATGGAGAAAAATGTCACAAAGCACAGTACTTAACACAATCCAGACAGATGTATAATTCTAGAAATGACTGATTAAGTGCTTAGAAGAGCCATGGGTCAATGCGGTAATCTGAAGCACGTATAAGACAAGGCAAGTTTATTTGTATAGCACCATTCATACACAAGGCAGCTAAAAGTGCTTTACAGATGCAAGGAAATATATTGGAAATGGAAAAAGAAATTAAAACAACTTAAAATCAATAAGACAAACAACATTTTTTTGTCTGTTCCATATTTGCCCTAATTATTAATGAAAACCATAATTTCAAACCCAAGTCACACACTTTCAGACCCTGAGCTCCCCAGCACTCAGCCCTGGTCTTCAAGACTCGACCGGTCCTCAAGACCTCAGTCCACAGTAGGTCCCTGACCCAGAGCTCCCGAAGATGGATGGATGGATGGATGGATAGATAGATGTCCACTGGCCAAGACACAGCACCCCACAGACACATCAAAAAGGACAGATAACTATGTCTAAAAGTAGCATAAAAAATCAAATAAAAGACAAATAAAAACAAACAATGCATAACTACCGCACATGGTAGGAAAAGTGCAAAAGTGCCAAAAAATGCAGGAGAGTGTGCAGATGTAGTGGGAGACATGAGCTAAGACCTAAGATGAGGACATAGGCTGAGTGCTACCTCCCCCCATTGAGGAGTTGAAGAGTCTGATGGCTGTTGGGATGAGGGACCTCTTGAACCTCTCAGTTGCACTTTAGTGACAGAAGACGATGGCGACTGTGGCTGCTTTCCTGACCAGCCAAGATGCAGTGCAGGGGACGGTTCACACAGTCTAATATGCCCTGCATCTTGCTCGAGGCTCGTCTCTCCCAGCAGTCCCCACAGAGTCCATGCTCCTGCCAAGCATTGAACCTGCTTTGCGGATTCGCTTGTTCAGCCGTCTCCCGTACCTGTCTATGAGGCTTCCTCTCCAGCAGACAGAAGCATATAGCAGGGAGCTCTCCACCACAGATTCATAAAACATATACAGCATGTCAGTGCAAACGCTGAACAACCGTAGCCTGCGAATGAAGTGGAAGCGACTCTGACGGCATCAACATCAGCAGACCAGTCCAGCCTGTTGTCCAGGTGGACACCTAACTAGCGGTATGATTCCACCACCTCGATGTCTACTCCCCCAATGCTGACTGGCAGAAGGGGTGTGAGCTTTGATCTTTGGAAGTCAATGACCATTTCCTTGGTCTTGGTGAGATGGTTCATGCCACTCCAGTCCGAGAAGGTCCTCACCGGCTTGTTATATTCTCTTTCCCCTTCACCCTGGGTACATGCCATGATAACGGTATAGTGCAAGTATTTCTGGACATGGCAAGAGTCAGAGCGGTGCTGGAAGTCACATACAAATACATAAGTCCTCTTGACTCAAAGACTAATTATCAATATGTATTACTTATTGTTTTGGCATAATGACAGTTATCCACAAAAATGAATTTAAAATACTAATTTGATCGACTCTGAGTGCTTTTAAATCATGGTCTTACACAAACGTAATCATTTATAGAGCTTTCAACACACAACAGAGTACAGCCTACAGTAACTTAACAATTGATCTGAAAATGTATAATGTTCTGTATGTTTCTTATCATCCTGGTTCACGTCTGTGTAAACTTGGTCTGTGTGATAAGCACATTCATTGTATACGAAGGGGCTGAAACTCATCCACAGCAGGACAGATGGGTGGGCAGATCCGGCATCAGCATCCCCCACCCAGCCGCCCACCACCCCCTGCCTCTGGGCTGCAGGCCAAATAATGAGAAAATTTACGACCACCCCTGGAGTTTATTAGCTCGGTTTCCCTAGGAGACAACCAGATCCTCCCGCTCTGACCTCCAGGAATGTCCTAAAGCCCCGGAGCCCCTGTTGGTGGGAAACGGCTCAGCCCCTCTGCACTGAGTTAGAAAATAAAAAACCTCGGGGGGATACCATCCAAAACACCTATGACCAGAGGACAGCGAGTCCCCTGTAAAGATTACTACAGGCCGAAAAGTCAACTCTTTTTAAACACGTTTGCTGTAAAATGGAGTTTATCTGAAAGAGGAGAGTCAGAGCGCAGAGAGAGCGAGGGTCCTGGCTGACAGACTGTAGTGACAAATGTCTCAGGGGGAGTATTGTGTGGAAAAGGGCAGCAGCCTTACTGTACATCCATGTGTTCTCCTCACATGGTGACTCAACACACGCTTCTTTTAAATCACTGTACACTAAAACTCAGGCAGACATGCTTTATGTACAGCACAGTATAGAAAAACAAATAACTCTTCTAAGGGGACCACAGGAGAGCTGCGCCATATGGAAGAAATCACATGGAGTATGTCGAAACTGAGGCTGTCAGAAAACCAGATTTTCACCTCATGATGGCTATAAAAACCGAGTAAAAGTATTTTCCCTATATTTGTAGAAAACTTGAGAACAAAACAAAATATGTCAAATTTATAAACACAAGAAAAAAGTGACTCAACACATTACTTCAGGAACTTCATCCATTTTTTAGGAGGCTCAGATTTATGATTTATCCACATCATCAGTCACTTCAGCCTTCACTGGGTCAAAATCTCAACACTGAGCTCTCCATCATGCGCACTCTCACTGATGTGCACTCTTTTTGACACGTGCTGAAATCAACACACACTCACACTCAAACCTACACACTCAGCTACATCCAGGCGGTATTTCAAGTTCACAGTTATTGGTGGCAGAGACTTCTTTGAAGGAGATAAAACTATCGTTTGTTGTGCTTTTATTTTGACATGTTTTTTGTCTTTTTTGTAATTAGATTGCTGTGTTTCCTACATTGTAAAAATATGCTTTTATTTTGACACTTTGTTAGTTCTCAGTTAAAAGAACCATCAGTGAGGGTTAAGTTATGCTGAAATTATTAATGACCCAGGGGGCACAATCTCTTCTTTTGATTATCATCATTAACTATTTTTTAAATAAATGAATTACATTTAACATTTATCAGCCTATTTTTTGGCACCAATAAGAAGTACTAAAATGGTTCGTAGAGGGCTGTTTCCAGGAATTCCATGCTGAATCAGAACTCAGTCTTAAAACTGAGAGGAAACATTTCCAGAAAGGATGATACTGATGACTAAATTATGATTATCGACAGAGCCATGTCTGCCTCTGCTACTGTAACAGGTGACATGACCCTGTTTAGCTTGGTGCTGTCAGGTTGGACCTCAGTTGATGTGACACATTTTTGAAATGTTTCGAATTTCAACATTTTTTTATTTTTGAACAAGAAAATGTGATCGGTGTAACACAAGTAAATACCTAACAGGTTAGTGATTAAACAACAGTGTGTAAATGTAGGTTCTATGTGCTTTAAAAACATGTATTTTTTAAGTTGAAGCAATTTTTTTGGTTGTTACTCATAGAATTGCACATATTACCTTAATACTTAATATCTCATGCTTTGAGAATATGGACTAAACCAGCTGGACTTGAATGTGCACTCATACCTGACTAAAAAAAACAAAACAAAAAAAAAAAACATTTCTAATCTGATCCTACAAGATTTCAAAATTTTAACCTGTGTGCTTTTATTCTCTTGTGTATACTCTAACATTCTGCAGCTGTTGGATGCACACATGTTTAACTTCTTATGAGACCTAATGAAGGTTTCTTTGCTTCTGGAGTTGGTCGCTGGTGGACTCTTGGGAACCGTCTTTTTTGCACCCCTATAATGGCTCAACTTTCCCACACTGGAGGTCACAGCTACTTTGTTTTTCACACCAGTGTATAGCCAGAGCAATGGGATAATAACATTTAATCCAATGAAGGTTCAAAAATAAATAATCAGAAAATGTTTTAGGAGGTGAAAGGACTTAATAAATAAATCACATAACTAAGAGTTTGCATCACAGGTATCATCACCATTCATTCTGTTGGATTTAGACTTTAAGCAGCCCTGTTGTTCCAAAAAATATTAACAATAAATCAAATTATTTATTTCCAAATAAAGACTGAGACACTAAAAAAATGAGTCTTTTGAAACTGTCTGTTGAAAATGATTTTTTTTGGATGGAAGGAGAAGGATACTTCTTGAACATGCCGTAATGAGTTTAATAATTTTTGGATCACATGGGAGAAAAAATGAATCCAATACAAACAAATATATCAAATAGACTGTAACAGTACACAGTCAATATGAAATGGTCGATATTAATGTGAAACTGTATTGATTAATAGTCAGTTTGTTGATCAGTGTCCAAAGTAAAAATATTAAAATGATTTTTTATTTGACTGTCATGAAGTTTTACAGTCAGAGTGCAGGAAAAAAGCAGAAATATCTGGTATGTACGTATGAAAAAGATTTAACTTAAAGCAGGAAAAACTGGCTTGGTCTAGTTTCAACAATTTAAGAAACTGCAAAAAGACACTCTAGAGACGAGGAAGAGGCCAAGAACATGTGCAGAAGATCTGAAATGAAATAGCGTCTCGCAGATATCCAATACACTTGGCATGAGGATGCTGTCGTTACATTTTCTGTACATTGTGCAGGTTGCTCCCAGCATTTTATTGAGATATGCGCTATGATTTATTGTAATGTTTGTTTAACCCACTGTTGAAGCTCAAGACAATACTAATTTATTTAAAAAAAAAACACAAATAACTATTGATGACTTGCACTGGTGCAGACAGAAGAAGAAAAGAGTGCGGTCATTTATAGCTTTATTTTGGATCACAGCTGCAAACCTTTTGAGAAAGACCGAGGTACATTTGTCCCCAGAGTATTGACCTTTCAAAATCTGGGATCTACAGCCAAATATTTCTCTGAGATGAAGTTACAATCCAGCAGCTTGAAAAACACTGAGACCTTAACCTATAAGACAGTTTATTCTGGACCAAGCAGCAAAGATTGCAGTGCAGTGTTTAACCTTGGAGAAATGAAGGTATTGAACTGCTTAACTCAATCTGAAAAGCACAAATAAAACAATAGAATTGGGCTCCAACTTGAACTCTCTCATGCTGCCATTGCTCTTAAATATTTTGTAGTTTACAATAGTTGCTAAAGAGTGGCAAAAGTAGTTTCAAACTCTTGTTTTTCAGATCTGGATCAAGGGAAGCTGTCAGCAAATTTATACACAATGCAGTTAAACAAATTCAACATCTGGGTTCTACTACCTTTTGTCTGAGGGGAAAACATAAAGATCAAACTGCAGCTCACAGTGAGCATTACGCGCAGAAACCCTGAATTGCGTACACTTGCCTCGCGTACGTCACTTTTTCTGTTATCAGATGTTAGTTTTCAATGTACTTAGAGTCTTAAGCGTGTCAATCTCACCGGTATCGATGGCCGAGCTGTGCAGAGTCATGAAACAGAGCAGGAGGAGCAGCCTTGGCCAACAGCTCTCCGCCTCCACCTCCATCATCCAGGCTCAGAGACACGCGCGCTCAGCACACACAGAGAAAATCCGGTTCGCTCCGCTCACAGAGGAACCATCAGAATCAGGGTAACTTCTCATGAAAGGTCAAAACTGGAGTCAAAAGTTCAAAATCCTCAGCACGGAGACCAGCGGACGAAGAACAAGGTCACTGCCGCTCTGCTCTCCATCATAAAAACTCTCGCTCTAACTGAAGCCCCTCTCGCAGTGCTGGCCGCTCAAGTAGCCTGTCATCCCCATGGCAACCTTCAACCAATCAGTGACGAGCAAGCTGACAGGAAAAGTTTCCTCAACTGATTAAAAACTCTCGTTTAATTCTCTCCTAAACATGCTGAATGTTCGGTTCAGAGATAACTGCGACTTCACGATCATGTACATTAGTTTAGGAGACAATTTAGGTTAGGGGAGAGTGGGGTAAGATGAACCATTTTTCATATTTTTGATCACTACATCAAAGCCATCATAGTTTTGTCTCTAACTTGTGTATCTGCATGTATGTCAAGATGTTGTGCATCCCTTCAAACCAACAGAATGAGTGTAAACATAACTGTCTTGATGATATAGCATGCCAAAAAAAAGGTCTCCTATGGTCAACTTACCCCATACACGCGGTAAAAGAATAAACAGGTTCAGGAGCAACATCTGCTGCCATCCAGACAAAGACTTTTTCAGGGAAGACCTTCATATTTCAGCAAGACCATGACAAACCACATTCTGCAGGGATTACAACAGCATGGCTCAGTAGTGTAAGAGTCCTGGTCCTAAATTGAATTGTCACTTATTGTAAACATTTGCACACAACCAAATATAAACAAAATATGACATTAGACAGAGACAAATCTAAACCCAACATCAGGCAAGAATGAGTCAACATCATCAAAACTCCAGAAACCGGTCTTCTTATTGAATTCATAAATTATAACATTTTTTAGTTTCAGCGTTTAATTTGTTGTCATTGTTGTTGAACTGTTTTTCTTTAAATGTTGGACGCAAACAAAACATAAACCATTAAATTTCTTCTCCTAAAAACCATTTCATGAAAACCTTGGTTGACTGCTGTTAGTGTCGTCCATTTATAAATTACACCCTTAATAAAAGATACCAGTATTACTGATCATACTGTTTTCAGCTTAATATGACAAGTTACCACATGAAAGACCCCCTCTAACCCCCCCCCCCCCCAAAAAATAAATAAATAAATAAATAAAAATAATAATAATAATAATAATAATACAGACTATTCAACTAACATGTCTTCTTTATGCGTCTGTAACAGGAACATATCTTTGCGTGGACCCAAATACACTCAGAGGATAAAACACATCACTTACAACCACAGTCTACCACCTCATACTTAAGGTCTGTGACATACATTTAAAACCTCCTGTGGATTTGGGGAACCTGAGCAGCCCTTGCAACGCTGAACTCCTCTTCTTTATACGTCCATCTTTGTGCACAAACTCAAATTGTATTCACTGCTTCCCTCTTGTGGCTCAACTAAAAACTAAAGCCACTATACAAAGTGGTCCCTGATCTTATTCTCCTGTTTTTATCTGTAACTTCAACAGGACTAATCTTTATCAAATGGATTGCCGTTGCTTTATTTAAGTGTATAAAAGCAAAAGTGCAGAGTTAAAACAGAATGATTTTTCTATGGCCCTCAGAAAGCTGCCTAAACATGAAAACTGTGGAAAATAAAGGGGTGCTTTATTCCATTATAGTTCAGGTGGTAAATACGATTCTTTTAGGTGTGTCAGACTTTTGTAGCAGGTAAAGGACAGAAAAGAAAAAAAGGAATCATAGAAGTTGAAGTACTTGCAGTGAAAGTTGAATAACCCTGGCTTGAAAAGTATTGAATGTAAGTTTAAACATGTATGTATAAAAGATGAAAATCAAGGGTAACATAGAGACAGAACAAACCAAAAGACTTTAACAGATGTTTCTAATTTAGTGAGGCCTGAAACTGACCGCAAAAAAGTACTAAGTGTATGAAAAGTTGGGCACGGTCTCTTCAGGTGATTTGCTCTTCTTCTCAGTTGTTTTGAAAAATGACTGATCCCAGTTTGAAAGGGTTAAAGGTATCTTTTAATCTTACAAAAGGTCTGTTTTTGAAAACAAACAAAATCAGAGTTATAGAACATTTAAAAGATACAGAGCGGTTAAAAGCAAATCAATTTCAAAATAATATTTACAAAATATACTTACATACAAGATTAGTGCCAGTACTGCACAGGACCCAGACTATGTGGAGTTAGTGTCGGTGACAAACTGTGTCAGTACTTTATCTCTCACCATCAAACAGGAAGCACACTTCAATGAAATTCTTAATGAACATGTTAGCATCATACAGGAGCATCAAAACATTTATAAAGGATCCAGACTGAGGCTCAACCAAAGAGCCTGAAACAAGCTGCAGAGGCAGTGCATAAAAACACAATGCAGTATGCATGTCTTTTTCTTAAAATCAGTCTTTACCGATGATTTAAACGCTCAAAACAACAGCCTGGTGTTTTCATCATACATTATCTATGACAAAATGAACTGGTATATTGCTGTTGATTCAGCACCATGTATCTGTATCACTGAATTACCAAAAACAAAACAAATAAATCTGATAATCTTACACATTATAATAATGTTGGTGTTCAGGTTAGCCATTCACATGCGCTACATCAGTTTTAATAGAGGTGTAGAGGTTGTTAAAAGGCATCCAGGGAAATTAAATACTTCAAGCTGAAGCAGAGAAGGCGGGTTGAGGAAAAGTTTGTGCATTAAGATACAAAATTCTAACCTTCAACCATATAAATCACCCTAATGTTTTAGTTCTATCTATCTATCTATCTATCTATCTATCTATCTATCTATCTATCTATCTATCTATCTATCTATCTATCTATCTATCTATCTATCCAATTTCAGTCACAAACAGAAGAAAATACTTTTTTTAGCTAAAACAGTTAGGTTTTTGGCAGTAAAAATACAACAAATTAAAGCTCCTGTGAGTAACTTTCACTTTGTGTAAAATTTGGCGCCCCCTGCAGTCAAAGCAGCATCTCTCTCTTTTTTTTGTACTGAGTCTTATATGTGTACAAATGACATTTAATGGTTCAATCTAAAATCCCTCTCTATTTTGAAATCACATACAGTATATCACCTTTTTCAGAATATTGCTATTGGATAAGGTCAAAGAAAAACAAAATTATTGGTTTCTGTTTATCACCTCAGCCAACACCTGCCTCCAACACCGGCCTTTATGACTGTGAAAATGATTAATATGAGAAGCTGCTTCGTAAATCCAGCCGCCGTTAAAGACTCTGAAGGAAATGTTTTCAGCCTCACTTCTCCATAACAGTGACAACTCAAGAAATCAGACAATCTCGTGCTGAATGTAGAGCCGCAAGACCATCTTCTGCCAAACAACGAAGCTTCGTAAAGACGCTAAGTAGAAACTGCCATTACTCAACAGGCAGAGAAAAGCTGAAGTTACACAGAGAGCAGCTCCTCATAATTGGGAGGACTTAAAAAGCTAAATGTTTTTTTTTTTTTTACAAGACTTTCTAACTCTTTTTTAAAGTGTCACAATACCATGGACCAATATTTTTGTATCGTGACATTTTGTTATTGTTTCATCCATATAAATTATAACTTCTCTCACAATCAGCACAAACCTCCTCACAGGAGCTTTAAGTGAGTCTTTTTCCTGCCTTTTTGTCTTTGCAGGTTTTTACAAAATTAAGAGTGCATCAGACTGCAAAGAAAATGAATGACAAAAATCAGTTTTTATAATACTCTCTAGTTGCTTTTTGCCTAATTTTGGATTCAGTACCAAAAATTACACAGTTGAAATGACTGAAATAACATAGAGTTTGTCAACTGAACGGATATCAACACATTTGTTAGTGTGTTTATTATTACAGAATTTAAATCACATGCTCTACGTTTATTGTAAGCTTTGAATTTATCCTGATGCACGTGTTGGGATTCTTCACTTATAAAATTTAAACTTCTTTAAATAAATGAAAACTAAGGCATTGTTTCTGCATAAACACAATTTGTGCTAACTTCTAAAACTGATGGTGACAGAGGATACACGAACATGACAATGTAGTGCAATGTGCCTTCACTGCATATCAATATAGCAGCACCACAGTGTGGAGAAGAACTGATCCGACAACAAACTGTCACAACTAAGGAAAATTCCACTGAGTTTGGGCTGGTGTTAGGTTGCACAAAAACTGAATATCTGCCTACAACACAAACACAGAGTATGACTTATCATTTTTAAGAAAAGTTGTTACTGTGGATTATATGTTGTAATATACTCATGTGTTGATCTACACTACATACTTACATTATGTTTGTAACATAATGTTATTATAAAATGATGTTCGATACACATAGTGTTCATTTTATATGAGATTTAAATCAAAACTTGCATAAAATAAAAGCATGAGTGGACAAAGGCCCTAACAGATTTACACATACAACAACTATTGGAGTTGCAATACGTGGAGCTTTCATTCCAGCTGCTTCTGTCACTCTTTCAATGGAGAACAAGCAAAAACATGTTTCTACTTCCATCCATTTGGTCTACAGAGAGCGGCACAGTCACTGTCATTTTACGGATCTATCACATATTAATCACTAACCTCAGAAAAATGTGCTGAGAGCCCAAAGTTTTATTATATTGTGAGGTTAACACTGAACCATTTGGGGTCTGTTAGTGTGCGCTGTCTGGATTAATTATGAAAACTGCAGCAGAGCAGCACAACAGACTTTATTTTTGCACTGCTGGTACTGTTGTGATGTTTTCATTATTTCTTTCAAGTACTGAACAAACTAAAGAGGATTCAAAAAGGGCTCTTTATATTTGACTTGAATTAAACACTACGAAACACTACATGTAACCCATACCTGATGATGTAACACTAATACTAAAACTGGTAACACTGTTACTACTTGTATTCGTCTGCAGTAAATGCATGTGCTGTCTTATAATTGAGGCACTAAAAAAATAAATCTAAGTTTCTATTATTTTTGGTCTAACTTTACACCGCTGTTGTACGTTAATAGCTGTCTTTACATAGAAACTAATTTTGTAGCAGTTCAATAGAAAGTCTAAGGTTTACAGAAGCTTTAAATCCTTCTTAGCTTATCATAATAGACCCTGAGCCACTGAGCTTGTGATGACAGTGTGTCGGCTGAATCTGATCTCTAGCCTCCTCTGGTTGACATATGGATGGTGGTGCCTGGTGGGGACTGCGACGGCAAACAGTTTCCGTTCCCGTTCAGCTGTTTCGTTAGTATTGTGAGAGATTTTGTGATCGGTCTAATGAACGCCATTGATGATGTGGTTGTGCAGCAGCTCCGGTTCATGGTTGTGCATCGTGAGGTTCATCTCCTCGTCCCTCAGCCGAGCGTTCTTCCTGATCTCCTCCAGGGAGTAGTCCTTCACCAGACTGCCGTTCTCAAACACAGTCACCAGCAGGTCCTAGACAACAGAGCGAACTCAGATCAGTTATGTAAGAGGATATAAGGACAATACAGAAAACACAATAGGTGGACAGATTTTTAGCATGTTGGGATTTCCTACATCATAACTGCAAGCTTCGTCTCTAAGCCTGCTCTAGCCGCCAGATTCCTAGAAGTAGAGGATGATCGCGGAACAGGTGTGTACGGTAGCGCGTTACAATATTCGTAAGTAAGCTAATTATGAAATTAACTTTCATCATGTCCCTAAAGGCATGAGTGTCCGAGAGCTGAAGCTCCTATGTTACCTGCCACTTCTACTACACCGGCAATGTTAGCCTACAAGCTAGTGTGAAGAGAAGTGTGCAGAGCAGCGCTGTCTCTGCCCACAACTCGGAGGCGAATTGCTAATAAGCTACTGGAGCTCTGCAGAAGAAAAGACACAGGTAACAGGATTTTGGCTTAAAACTTCATAATCACGATTGAAAGACCACTGAGAACACTTTAAGTAGTAAAAAAAAAGAAAAACAATCAGAGTGGGACTTAAACTGGGTATTGTTGACTGGATGAGTGGTTAGAAGAGATTTAACTGAGTAAGAGTGAGGGGGCAGAATATGATGAAGGGGCTTACTGTTGCACCAAAGGTGTCGTTGGGATTTTGGTTCTCTGCTTTCTCACACCCAGTGAAGTTTGTAAAAAGTGAAAATAGTGATAATTTATACTTACTAGCATACTACTGACTTTTTAAAAGCAGGTTCTTACCTCCTCAGGCTTTCCTGCCCCTCTCTCCACTGTCTCTAAGAAGCCATCAGAGTTTCTCCTCAGGGACAACCGGCCCCTCTTGGACCCCTTGGAAGGGTCGGTCACCGGCTGCTTGTACACGTCCATCTGAAAAAACACAAACAAAAAAACTAGACATAAGACACCAAGTAAATCTATCAGCTGCTTATAAACGTGTTCAAAGGCCCTCAGTGTAAGAGCGAGTTGTATGTGTTGTCCAGAAAGTAACTCCGGTCCTCTCAGTATTTTCTGTTCAGGCTGTTTGATCAATGATTCTCTTATTTTGCATTAATGACTTAACATGTGTACTAAATTTATGAAGGATTTGGTTGATTATTTCACAAAATTTCAGCAGGTCATACTTATGTCAAACAATAATGTGTTTCGAATAAAAAAGCAGGTAAAATGAAGTTGAAAATCTGCCTGAAAAAGATCTGTTGTTGTATCCAGATGAAGTCATTGACCCTCCACTCACCCCTTTGCCATTATTCTCCACGTAGCTGCATTTGAAGGCACAGCTGAGTGTGTCTCTGTTGAGTTTCTGAAGCAAAGCGCTGCCACAACCGAAGAAGACGTTCTCAGCGCTCCAACCTTCATCGCTCAGCTTCTCCAGAATCTGTGAAAACAAAGAAAACGACGATTTATGTTACACATTATCGCAGGATCATAAGCTCTGATCTCTAGCACCGTTTGTAATAGGATTTAAGTGTATAATTTATGAGTCTCAGAGCTCTGAAAAGCCAAAGAATAAATCCATACGGGGAGTGAGGGCTAAAAAGAAACAAACTCAAGATATTTTTCAGTAAGAGGTCGAAAACTCTGCTATCAAAGGGGATTACAGCAGAAAAAAGCCACAAGTACATGTAGTTTTAATGCTCTTTACAATAAAATTGCAACCATATTCATGTTGTTATAGTTTGTGTTATCATTTTACTCAGGTATATTTGCATTATCATCCTCTAGAGAAACTTGAACAGTTACATTTCCCTCACTTTAAGCCACAGGTCAACTAAGTCTCTTCACTCTTTGTTTGAAAATAGAAATAAGTTTCTCCTCATGGACTGTAAAGCTGTGGGAAAGCAAAACTGCAATACTGCCAAGTATCAGGGATCAGGTAAGAAGTCCTACAGAAATATCACAGAGGCTGCAGAAAATTCAATCTCAGGAATTGTTTCACAGAAATCACAGGCATCTTATGAATGTTTACAAATCTGTTGTTATTTAGCATGACCAGCAAGCTAGTAATAGTTTATATGTGATAGTTTATAGATATTCATGTTGTTGTTGTTTTTGGGACAGAAATTTAATCTCCAGCAGAGTAACACAAAAACAATAGTGTTAAATAGGATGTTGTTTTAAAAAGTAAAGTTTAACCCAGAATTTGTACAGTCAAATATTTTCTTACCTCATCCACTGATCGGAGGTCGATGCCGTCTCCCTGAATGATCCGCAGGTAAGATGGCAGCACCTTGTATCCCATAGAGTTCAGAGAGCAGCCAAAACACTCTTCCAAAATCTTGATAACCTGCAAGTACCAATGAAATTTTTCTGATTTATACTTGGAGCCACGAACCGGTTAAGGCTGGTGTGAGTGTGGGTGTGTGCATGTGTGTGATTTTCAAACTTGATGATTTTTAACTGAAGATGAAACCAGTTTCTCATTCAGTTTCAAAAATCTTGTTTACTTTCTCTGGACAGAGACTTTAAAAAGTCTACGCAGCCTCACACACTCCTGGCAGTGACACTAATTTGAATGTAAAGGCAAATATACTGACTGGCTTTTTTTTAAATGTTACCAGTGTGGTTTCATGTCCAGATCTCTCCAAAATAAGACAATTGGGTTCAAAGGATCTTGAAATCAAAACAAGATCTTAAAAACACTTTGGTGAACAACTGCAGGGAAAGGCATTTTCTGTGGGGTACATTTCACCTAGCAGCAGGTGTGAATGTAAGGTCTATACTGTACTGATTTTAAAAGCATTATAGATGACAACCATCATAAAAAGTCTCAAATTTAACTGAATTAATACAAAGATAAAAAATAAGTGACCTAAAGCACAAGTGGTAACCAATATGGGAATTAAAATTACTAACTGTAAGGATACAGACAGCCTTCTCTTCTGATTCTGAACATATAAAAGTTTCCAAATCAAGAACTAACTGATGAAAATAAATAAATGCCCCCATTACAAACAGCTGGATCCAGCCTAATCCTGCCCTGTTATTCACCTCAATAAGAGTCTCTGCAGGGTCTCCAGAGTCTGGCCTGATGACCAGACACGAGTCCTGGCTGCGCTCCATGACTCGCTCCTTCAGCTTGTTTCCCCAGATGTGTTTACAGGCGTTAAAGATGTCGTAGCTGTCGCTAACCACCGACACCGGCCCTGAGGTAAATTGCTCCAGGATTCGCTCAAAGGCCTCCTTCTCCCTGCTCCTCCCCCAGGAGATAATGGTGCTACATGACAAAAAAAAAAAGAGGAAAAACTTGTTTTGATGCAGCTTCTGACATGCAAGGATAAAACCTCTGGTGGTGCTGCATTTACCCCATTATTCACCAACAACACAACTATGCAGGCTGGTGACACTTCTCTGTTTCAAAGCTAAAAAGGACTCAGAGATGTGTGAGTGCTTGGGATGCCACAGTTCTTTTTTTTTTAACTTATTTTTTTTATTTATTTTATTTTTTTGAACAGTTAAAGTGTCAGGGCGAAACTTATTTACATAATTTATCAAATGTCCTTATATCAGTGTCTTTGTAGTCTAATGAAGGCGGCGGTGTCCTCTTCTAACCTCCTGAAATCAGTTTATTTTTCCAACTTTGCTACAAATTGTATTTCCTGTAATCTTAATTTGTGTGTGAGTTTCTCCATTACATATATTCAACAGTACACACCCACGGCTCCCCAGTAGGTGGTTCTTCATTATACCACGATCTGGTAATTGCTTTTTGACTTGCCGATAATAGTAGTTTAACGAGATAATCATCTTTTCTTTGTATAATATTGTGTGTCAGATTTCCCAAATACAATGTCTTACATGTTCTAGGTATCTGATATCCTATTATGCATACTTTACCATATTTCATACCAATACCCTTTCTCATTTTTAGCAAGACCAGAATGTGTGTGTGTGTGTGTGTGTGTGAGATCTACATCAATGTGTCCAAATGTTCTCCAGCACGGTTGTTGTGTAGATACTAATCCTTTCCTAATCTTTCGAGTTATAAAAAAAAATCAGACAATATTTTTCCAATTAAACTCTCTCCAAACTCTGGGGCTGGTGGCGGTGGGCGCACTGCAATTTACACATATTGAACCATTCTTCTTCTTCTGGTATTTGTTCCTTCATCTCTTTTTCCCCCATTCTTCTATAATCCGTAGTGAGGAAGAGTCCCTGCATGATGTCAAGCTTTTACAAAAAGTTGAGATTACTCTACATTTTTTCTGCTAATAGGCTCTCTGAAGTACCCCAACAATTCCATTATCAGTGTCAGCTTTGAGCTCCTTCTCGAAATAGTCCCTTAGTTGTAAGTAACGATCTCGTTCGTTTTCATCTAATCTAAATTTGTCTTCTCAAAACTCTGCAGTTTACCCCGTTCAACTATTGTGCATATTGCTGTGATTCCCTTGTTTGTCCATTGCTTAAAACCACTGTCAATCACTGTCAACATCCCTGTCTCCCTCTCCAATTTATACCTTTTAACTACTGTATTCCATATTTCAACTGTAGTGGGATGCCATAATTCTAAGTACAATACTGAACCATTTGGTAACGCATCCGTGAATCATTATGCGCATATGAACTGCATTTTGATGTTCCAGTTTTGCCGTCACTAGCTTCCATGCATTATATTTCTTCCTGAATCAGCTCTGTTTGTGCCTTTAAACCCATGCTCTGGGCTGAGGAATCTCCTCTCCACAAGTTAATATCCTATCACCACATGCTTAATATATGTGACATGACAGTCGTCTTATTGTTGGTGTTTAGTCCATAGACTGTATATAGAATGGACAGAGTCTGCCTCCTTGCTGGGTGAAGCCACTCCGAGAATAGCACCCTCTGTTGACCGACTGCAGTATAGGTCATAAATCCCGCCTCTGCCAGCAATCCCTATGGGGTTGTGGACAAACTTTAGAAATTTATGACACAGAACATAAATTTTTCTCCCCCCTGCTTGTGATATTGACATGTAGTTATTGTAAGACTGGTTTGTGCTCAAGTCCTCTTTTTTCTGTGAAGCTCTGTTTTTAAAAGTTATTAGGGGGTTCATGCTTTCTTTGATTGACACCTGATACAGCCTACGGGCGTTCAGGGATTGCGTAGCTCACCCGGGGGGATACGCTATTTGAGCCGAGCGTCATCACAGCGACTCTCCCGCCGAATGCGTACAACGTTACTGCGCAATGCTGGTTTCAGGAAATGGAAAACAGTGGTCTTCGTGGGCAGTTTGGATCTTCAGCTGGAATAATATTTTCTACAAAATAGATCTAAAACAGATATAAGGTGGGAAAACATGTCTGGATCTGAATGAAGACAGAATACATACAGAAAATTTGCCTTGAGGCTTTTTTTTAATAACCACTTGTGCTTGTATGAACAGAGGCCAGTGCTCCTTACATAGACAAGGAAAAGTAGGCCAAAACTTTTAATGAGACCTATTCAAATCAACAATAGAAAAAGGAGCGGCGTAGTTACGTGAGTAGCTGTTTGGCTGATGGCCAGTTCGTAAGGAAGGATCATCTCCAGGGTTGTTAAAATCAATACTGAACAGGGTAAAAATATATATTATATAAATCTGTTTTTTTTTTCAGTCTTGTATAAAACTTTTTTTTCTTAAAAGAAATAGTAAACTTGCAACATGTAAATCAAAGAGAGATTTTCTAAGCAGCTTGAAGGCGTCAAAAGAAGATGCATGAAGCTGTAGATGCTTTGAATGACTTTCTGCTGTGTGCTTAAGAAAATAATGACGTGTTTTGTTGTTATGTGTTTGCATGTCAGTGACTTTGTTTGAATGCACTGCTGTAAATCTTGGCGAGGATATTTACCAAAGAGATTTTTAATTTTAACAATTTAAAAAATCGGTCTAAGAATAAAACAACAACAAATCCCTAAGACTGTCTGTACTGTAAGAACTGTACTGAACCTGCAGCCATATCAAAGTGTGGGCTAACTGTATGGTTGCATTGTTAGGTCTGCATGATTAGGGTTTGTTGTACCTGTGTTCTGCTGCTGGGATGGAGAAGCCAGCCATCGGGCAGCCGTAGTACCTCTGAGCCATCAGCAGCCCGGCTACTGTGTCTGTACTGCAGAAATTAACCAGGTGAGCTGCTCCTCCTAAAGCTGCAGACTGTGGAGCAAAAAGAGGAAACCATGAGTTTACAAACATTTTCTCTGGGTCCAAATAAAAAAAAAAAAAAGAACAGACATGATTAATAATGTTACTCAATCCAGAATCTGGCACTGTTATGCCCAGTTTTGTGGATTCTTGTGGAAAAAAACAAAACAAGATATATTCTGACAAAAGGGGGACAACTTTTATCACACAACATATAATCACAGTCATCAGAGAAAATGACTGTTGGTGACATTCCCACTAGGTCAGAGAAAACGATTTTGTTTTGCTGTGACTGAACCTTCGTCTGGCATGACTTTCTTTGCCTCACAGCTGACTCATAAAACTGTTTTCAATACAGTGATTTTCATTATCTGTCAGGACATGCTGTTAGCAAACATTTTGTGAACAGTTTTTTTTTTTTTACTAATAATTAAAACATTTGGCTTCCTCTGACAGCCATCAGAGCTGAGCTGATAATGAGGCGTTCAGTTACAAGTGAGAGGAGCGAGTGATTCTGTCAGCGACAAAAACATGATTCACTGCTTTCTGTTCAGCCTGATGAATGAGTGTTAGAGATGTGTTTCTTTCTGCACTGAAACTCTGCTGCAGAGAAAGAAACAGTCTTTCACTGTACACTACCATTTACAACCCGCCATTCTTTAAATATGTTTATATCAGTCCTTCTACAAAGTCAGATTTATGACAAATCTTTTTGAAGGAATCAGAGCTGTAAGAGACATTAATGAATTGCATCACTTTACACAGCTATTCAGACCAATCTGGATAAAATTAAAGTCATCTACGCAAACATTTCAAGCCACACATCATCCAAATTGCTGTAATATTCCTGTGACAGCATAAACAAAGTTTGAATGATGCCAGAAACTTCATCCATGTTTGAAATATGACCAAAAGTATGAACTGTTGCCCTGAAACAAGAAACAACTTGTCCGAGTTTCAAAATCCATTTTTATTAAATTGTGGTTTGTTATGTTGACTTGTTTAGAAATCACCTACATGTGAGACAATGATTTCACCATCTTATAAAAGATAGTGAAGTCATTGTCTTTCAGGTTTCCACCCTTCAGGTTTGGATTCAAGCTTTTTATTTTCAGTTTCTGTCATATGTGAGAACAAACACAGGAATCGAAAAAGACGTTTCTCTCCAGCCCACGGTGCAAAAGCGCAGAGAATATTTTTCCTGTTGAGCCTTTTTGGAACTGAAAAATATTGAGGATCCTCTCCTGATACCAAGTTCAGATCTGATACTTTTACACGCCTGATAATGAAGCTGCACACTGTTAGTTTTAACAAGACCGGCAAAGAAATGATCTAAAAGATGTCTTCAGTTTATTCAATTTAGCTTATTCCTGCTGTCATTACTGTGAACTTTATTCTATCTTCTATCACAGTTAGTTTCTTCAGTGCAGCAGCCTTCCCCTGGAGCTTTTGTAAATTTTGTTGCATTTTTAGCTAACAGCAGACATGGCCACTGTTCACTGAGCAGTTTAGGCTGTGTGCGGACATGGGCCATAATGTCTGGAGAGTTGAGATAGCAGGACAGAACACCCAAGAGATGGCAAAAACATGAATACTACCACAGACATGAAGTATGACCCCAAAAATAGCCATCTCATTTCATTCCTGTCTGTGTCGAGTTAGTTTCTTCAGTGCAGCAGCCTTCCCCTGGAGCTTTTGTAAATTTTGTTGCATGTTTAGCTTTTAGTTGTTGTACCAAGTTGGCAGTATTGTGGCCACTGTTCACTGAGCAGTTTAGGCTGTGTGCGGACATGGGCCATAATCCTAGTTGCGAGTTTGATCCGCAGCGCATGGCAAAATAACCAGCACATGAAGTATGACCCCAAAAATAGCCATCTCATTTCATTCCTGTCTGTGTCGAGAGCTGCATGTGCGCAGTACTGATGGAAGTTGACGTGTTCAAGTGACAGAGAGAGACAGAGTGAGCAGCAGTGGTTAAAGGGATATTCCGGCGTAAAGTTATGGTCAAAACACTTGGACAACGAGTTAGACACCCCCTCGAGAGATGAATGTTGCCGACTGCTTGCTTCTCTAGTTAAACAAACGTCAGCAACGTCCACATGATAGCAATACACAGTGGTCTATGTCTCCAAAAACCACTCTATAGCTACAAATAATGCTCAGAACAGCACCTAACTTTATCAACAGTACAGGGTCCCAGCCATGGAACTAGCCATCAAACATCTTTTTAGCGTTGCCTGATTTCTTGAGCGCAGTGCAGCGGAGTTTCTCAGCTCAAGGAAGAACATTTATGATTATTACTTCATGGAAATGCAGTCAGACGGAGACGCCAAGATTCATCTCTCGAGGGGGTGTCTAACTCGGTGTTACGATGTGTTTGACCATAACTTAAATTTATGGTGGAATATCCTTTTAACTTAGCCTTTTACACTCTGTCAGACACTACAGTGCAGTAGCTAATGAATAAGCCCATAACATATAGAGGCATGTGCACTGGCTGTTGTGAAGTGAGTGGATGTCATGATATCACTGCCTGCTGGTTTAATGCACGTCAGTGTAGCTCTGCTAAATAAGTGACCATATACCGTTTTGTATTCTGTTATATTAATTTTTCTTCAGCAAAAAAAAAAAACAAGTTTTGAAAGCTGCTGAAAATGTCCAACTCGCCTTACTGACCTGGTCTTCAAATCAGGCCCTCATCCTGCCCAACTCTGCCTGTGACTTACATTAAATCTCAGGAATCCACCTTAGAATCTCAGTAAAATATCACACGATAATTCATTAACATCAGCAGAACACTGCCTCAAAAACAAAAGAGATATCACAAGAGTAGTATCAGCTGCTCTCAGATTTTCGGTGGAAACAGTTGCATGAATTCATCAGACTGACGGTGATTCAATAATGTTTGAAACTTTTACATCCAAAACAAAACATCAGAAGCATCAATGTAAAAAAGACAGTAGTGAACTGAGGAACTCCATCAGCTCTGCTTTCATAACCTTAGTGCTGAATTCCTATTAAAGTTTAAAAACGGAGAAAGGCACTACCCACTTCCTGAGAGGAGACTCCTCTGTAGCCAAAGTCGTGCAGTTTCAGGTCCAGGCCCTCCAGGCTCCCTGATGTGGCCTTCAGGTGCTTAGCCAAAATCTTCTTAAACTCTCTGGATATGGTGGCGACTGTGATGGGATACCACATCTGGACCAGCATCGTCTGCAGCCAGCAGAAGAGGGATTACAGGTAGGATGAAGATGAGGAGAAAAGACAGCGGGGAGAAAGTTAAAATCAATAACGATACAGGAGGAGTGGAGGTTTTCGTCTTTGCTTTGGATTTAAATGGATTTCGTGAGGAACCTGAAAGCTAAGGCAGGGAGTTCACTGTGAGAGGAGAAGCTCATTATATACACAGAGCTAACAGACATAATGTTCTTCTCACTGTTTATGTTACACTTTTCTAATGGCACACACAAAATTTTGAAGAGGACATCCATGTCTTCTGCTTTTTACATTTTTAATCCGTCAAGGAGATTCAAAAGAGTGGCTACTCTCATTTTTGCAACTCTAGTCTCTGAATCAAAAGACAAATTTCAGTGATTGTGTAAATGTGCAACAGAATCCTCAACGAAAACACCGACAAGCATGCAAGAACTGTTCAGTTCAGTTTCTGCTGAGGAATATGGCGTCTGACTAATCTGCTTTTTCAACACTTTTGTCTTTTGTAATTCTTAAGATTAAGAAAAAAGTAATGACTAACTTTTTTTTGAATGGCAGGTACTTTGCAAGTCAACAAAGAAACCTTACAGCATAAATAGTTCAAAGTTTGAACGAGTTGAATCATGCCCAGCTTTCTTGAATTGATCAATAAAAAATTAATCCAGATGAGCAGGTATCTAAAAAGTTGTTTCTTGTCTTGACTTGAGGGCAGACCACACACAAAAACCTGAATACTGGCTCCTTACAAAATGATCAAATACACTGTTGTGAAATACAGCATATGTACTGAATGCAAGTTTAGTTCCCTTGGTCATCTCAAAATTCCCTTTTACACCTTTCTCTGTTGATAGGTCATAATCATGCATGTGAAGAAAACAGTGGTGTGTTACTGAGTGAGTAAACCTCACAGATGACTGGTTGGATTGAAAACTCTTTCTCAGTGGATTGGTTGAAGGCAGTATGGTTACAGGTGCCCTATAATCATCAACACATGCTGCACTTAGCTGGCAGCATGGTTATAACGTTTGCAGCTAGAATCATCTCAGCGCACAAACTGCATGTTGCTGATCGAAATTAAACCTTTTTCTTCCTTTTGAAAGAAAACTTCCCATGAGGAGAATACGCCCCACCAATGAGAGACTGCCAATTACCCTAGGTGGGCGGTGTTGAAACCTCAGTATGTTTGTTCAACAGTATATTAAAATTGCTGAATTAACCATATGTTCCTAAGACCTTTTTCCTTTACGCCTGATTTCTCTTCAAGTCTTAAAGGGATATTCTGGTGTAAATTTAAGTTTAGTACTTCAGTAACGACCGCACAAAACACAGCGGTCTACGTCTCCACAAACCTCAACCAAAAAGCTACTCTATAGCCACAAATAATGCTCAGAACAGCACCTAACTTCATCAGCAGTACATATAGGGTCCCAGCCATAGTACTAGCCACCAAACATCTTTTTAGCTTTGCCTGTTTTCTTTAGCAAAGAGACCAAACACAACTCACCCGCTCTCCTCCAGCAGCCGCTTGTTTGTGGGGGAGCCCTGATGAGTTGATGGCTGGGAACCTCTATGTACTGTTGATGAAGTTGGGTGCTGTTCTGAGCATTATTTGTGGCTATAGAGTGGCTTTTTGGTTGAAGTTTGCGCATGGAAACGTAGACCGCTGTGTACTGCTATCGTGCGGTCGTACTAAAGATGGTATAACTAGAGAAGCAAGCAGTCGGCAACATTCATCTCTCTAGGTGGTGTCTAAATTGGTCTTACAGTGTGTTTGACTATAACTTAAATTTACGCCGGAATATCCCTTTAATGCTTCATAATGCTTAAAAACACCCCTGGTTTTACCTCAATGTAGTTGGTGAGCCAGAAGAAGTTGGGATCTGTGTTTTCCACGGTGAAGAGCACGTTTCCTCTTGGTATGATCCTCCCCTCAGGGACGGCTTTGATCCGGATGGGTAGTCGGCCATCATGTTTCTGCAACAAGCACGTTCACTTCAGATTAGATGATCACAAATTCTACCTTCACACCCAGTAGAATGAAAATGAATGTGCTTACCTCCAGGACTTTCCTCCAGCCTTCTTCATCAAACACAGACTGCTTGAAATGCATCTGGTAGAAGAGCTTGGCTTCCTGAATCTTCTCCTCCGTGATCACCTGGCCTTTAGGGAACATCAAAAGTTGCAGTAGCAGATTATTTGAAGGGGTATACATAAGATGGACAGTATTTACGCTTTCATAATCCTTACATGACACCTGTCATTAACATGAAGAAAGTTTATGAGGGCTGTCATTAGTGATGGGAATTATGGCTCTTTTTGGTGAGCCAGATCATTGGGCTCTTTTGGCTCCTAAACCACTCTTCATTTTACCACTTATACAATTTCGGATTCAGCCATATTTAGCGTTGTTTGACTTATGATATGTACATACCTCTTAAATAATTCAATACATCCTTTGTACTGAAGTATTCACAAGTAAAAATTACATTTTCTAATATCAGTAAACTGCTGTAGCCAATCGTTTTCATTGCATTTACAGACCCTTGTAACTCTCTGAAACCACCTAATGAATGCACTGACTTGCTTGTAGAGCCACTCTGCTCCATGAAGCAGATAGAAAAAAAACTGCTTACTGACGGGAGCCGGCTCCAATCATTCACGTTTAAAAGTCAGCTCTTTCCTGTCATTCCCTAAATTATGGCACATTTGGTGCTTTATTGACATTGTTTGGGAAGGTGTTGTCGCCAACATTAATGACTTAATGTCAACCTTCATAAGCCTTATTCAAGGTAATGACAGGTGTCAAGATTGTGACAGTGTATTATCAGTCTTATGTATACTCCTTTAAATAAAGTGTTACCAGAGTTACTGTGACAAGACTTGAATGCAGAAAATAGAGAAAAGGGACTGACTTATCTAAGAGACAGACACCTTAAAACCACAAAGTGCCTGTTTTGTTTTTCATGCTACTGGATTTGCCTGCCATTTTCCTTTTACACTTTTAAGCAGTGAGGACTTTGGAGTTGAAGTGTGCCACCAGCTGCAATTTTAAGGACACATGCTCTTTTTTTGTCCAGAAGTAAATCATGACAAGTCGGACGGCTTGTGGCCTCAAAAAACGTATTACACTGTATGTTTTCTGAATTTTGTAGGCCATACAATCATTACAGTTTGCCGTCATGGAGTTGCAAAGGTCTTTCCATGAATGCACAAAATTCTTGAGAAAATTCAGGCCAGCCAAGTCTGATCTTTTCCAAGGTTGCTTATTCACACTTCTTCCTCCTCACAGTATAAAATTTTCCCTATCTCAAACGACATGTGCACATAAGTAAAAGGATGTTTAGGCAGTGCAGTTATGTGCTGTAAAACTCTAATTAAACACCGGTCCCAATTCAACACTGAGTTCCTTATTCTAGCCAGGTAGTGCTGCACAGTCTGACAAAAAAATGCTCCAACAAAGGCTGGAACTAGATTGTGTTAGTATGGTTGTCAGTGCTGTGAACTCTTTTTTTAGGTGTTTGTTTTTTTCCCAACATACAGCCACATGACACATTTACTGATGACTTGGTTGCAAAAAGAAAAAGTATGATTCAAGTTTCACTAATTAACTTTGTTGAGGATTACTCTGGAGGAGCAGGATTGATTGAACAAGATTGATCGTATCAGAGAACAGCTGAAAACCGATTTTCTGCTTCTTTCGAAGCATTAGGACGGAAAAGCCAAGGCTATCAGGAAAGAAGAAAGCCAGTGGCAAGCTGGAGCTTAAAAGGTGCAGGTGGATACACACACAGCATGTGGATACAGCACTTCAGGGTCTCCCTTCAAGACATCAGGTTGAAGATAAAAGGGAGTAATGCAACAATGAGTGACTGGAGGGGCTTACTTTATACATTTCTCCTTCACAAGCATTTTTTGGTTAGAAGACACATTTCTCATATTAATTACCAATTTACAAAGAATTTTTCTAAAGCTTTCTGAACACCCTCCCTCATGAGCTCAAACCAACTTTGGCATTTCAAGTTCACACATGCAGCTAATCAATTCAGGAAAGCCCCTGAAAGGGCACTTTCTGAGATTTTTTTGCATGTGTAGTCGTCTCAGTAGTCGTCGCTGACTTCTTGACTTATGCCAGAAAAATTCTAAGCAAAATCAGGGTGAAACATTTAGTCACTTGCATTTTCAAACATGCAACCAATTCCAGGTAAAAGGGGTTAGAAATTTAAGGAGTCTGAGTTCACACATGCAGCTCATTTAGGTAAACACAGGAAAATCTAGGAAGTTTTGCATTTGTGTAAGTAGTCCCTGACTTCCTCTTGACTTCTGTTATAGATATCCTGGGCAATGTGGCGACACCTTCAGGAGTTCATAACAGATTGGGGTAGATTTTATAAAAAGCTCTCTTTTTTTCTTTGCAGTAAAGTGCAAATTAGTTTTTCTTTCCTAATTTCATTTCTTGGAGTGAGAAAAGGTGTAAATTTACCTGTGAGATACTTTTTCAGCAGATACTGAAGACCGAAGAACACCACTTCACTAAACTGGGAGCCTTTCTTGCGTCTGCATTCGAAGTAGGAGTAGATTTTGCTGATATTTGGAGGGTATTGTTTGTAGTGTGTGATCTGAAAGACAAGAAACAGAAGTCAGTGTACAAAGTCTTACAGCATTTCACTCATTTACCAGAGCTAATTACCTCCGCCAAGGAGGTTATGTTTTTGCTAGCGTTTGTTTGTTGGTTTGTTTGTTTGTCTGTTAGCAACTTTATGGAGAAAGTAACAGACAGATTGACCTGAAATTTTCACCAGAGGTGCGTCTCAGCCCCAGGAGGATCCCATTACATTTTGGTGGTGATCGGGATTGCCTTCTGGATCCAGGAATTTTTTGAAGGATTCTTTATCGTTGTGAGATAGGGCAAATTTTGGAATTTCTGCATTTAACTCAATAAAACTTAATTTAATAAAAATGTCCAGAGTCTTTAGTAAAAAATTACACAAAAGGATCTCAATGAGTTTTATGAGGTGTCAAAGGTTGATCCTGATCCAGACAAACATCCGGATACTGTGATCCAGAACACACAAATATAAGGGTGTTGTTGGAATTTTCAATGCTGAAAGATAACTAATGGGTGGCACAGTGGTGTAGATGGGCGGCACAGTGGTGTAGTGGTTAGCACTGTCACCTCACAGCCAGAAGGGTTCAAATCCGAGTCAGGGCATTTTTCTTGTTTTAGGAACATTATGAACAGTGAACATACCAGTTTAAACACAAATAAAAGTTAATAAAAGACACGTAACAGTAAACGTTTTAGTGTGAATCTCAATATAAGGGGGGACATGAGCTGCTTGGCGGAGGTCTGCGCTCTCTGAGTGCTTTTCTAGTTTCAACATGTTACAATCACAGAATGATATAACCACTTAAGGGGGTAACTGTTGATTCATTGATTCGTAATCTCCTTGCTCGTGGCAGATTTGCACTTGTGTCTGTACAGCATAAAATAAAACCACAGTAAGCGCACTAATGATAAGCTGAAAAACCAGAGGACTGTGTCAACGTGATGTTTGTGTTGTGTGTACAGTAAACATGTTGCCTGGATCCATGTGGGAAGGGATGATGACAGCTTAAACGCACAAGCCCCTCTTTGTGCTCCTGTAGCAGTAATTGAATAATCAACAGCAACAACCAGCCAGTCGCTGGAAGAAAAAAATCTTTAAGAGGTATTCAGTCCACATTCTTCTGCCCCGTCCTGCCTCCTATTTTAAGTCCTCTCTCCTCAAACTTCAGGGGGAAAAATTCAGAAGCAACAAAACATGCATGAATACTGGCTCACCGGGGAGAGGTGTAAAAAGAGAAAGAAGTTTCAGGGTTAGGACACGAGCATCAAGAAATAAGAGCATTAAACTGGATTGTATTTTCAAGCTTGTACTTTTGTAAACACATCACACACAGACACCAACAGTCAGATTTTGTTATGTTAAGCTTCTAAGGGAGGAGGTTTCAAGGAGAGACCAAACACTCAGGCCCTGTTGATACCTGGCATTAACATTCATCACAGGGGATTGGATCAAAAGTGAACCTCAATCGAAGGCCAGTGAGATCTGAGATCTGATCACTCAGGCCGCATACGGAGGTGGATTAGGACACACTGATTCACATTGGACTGGCAGTGTGTACTCTCATGTGCCCTTAGCCATGTTAAGGACCACCCACTCTTTTAGTATCCATGGCGACACTCGCATGGATCAACAAACCTGCCTCTCTTCTATGACTGATTAGATATTTTTCAGCGGTGCTTTGTCGAACTTTTTAAACACTTTTCATGTCAGTCATGTAAAAATGAGCCAGGTGTGCACAGATTATTTAACATCTGTATAACCTCATGAAGAGCACATGCACCAGTGTTTAGAAAACCTCGAAGGATGGAGATAGGTTACTCAGACGATGTAAAAAAGATAAAACTGTACTATCCTGCAAACAGGACTCTGCAAGCTGTAAAAGTGATGGTGTTTTAATAATAATAATAATAATGCATCAGATTTCATATGGCGCTTTATCAGAGACCCTCAAAGCGCTTTACATTGGATACATTATTCATTCGCTCACACAGTCACACTTTGGACATTAGAGATGGGTGCAATTCATCCATGTGTCGATGCATCGTGATGATTTGGCATCGATTAATTAACGTTGACGCTTAAAATAAATAGATAATAAATAATAACATCAATGCTTAGCTGCAAAGCCAGAACAATAAGAAAACGTAACCGAAACTAGGGATATTTTTTCTTTCACTGTATTTAACAACTGCTTCCTGAAACTCCTGTCTTGAGATTTTTCTGACCCTATTTGATAATAATTGGGGTCACCTGTGATTATATTTGTGTCAGACACATAGACTGTATATAGAATGGACGCCGTCTGCCTCCTCACTGGGTGAAGCCACAGTAGGTCATAAAGTATAGGTCATAAATCCTGCCTCCTCCAGCAATCCCTATGGAGCTGTGGACAAACTATAGAAATTTATTACACAGAATATCAATTTTTCTGCCTCCTGTTGTGATGTTGACATGTAGTTACTGTAAGACTAGTTTGTGCTCAAGTCCTCTTTTTTCTGTACAGCTCAGTTTTTATAAGTTATTAGTGGGTTCATGTTTTCTATGATTGACACTTGATACAGTCTATGGGCGTACAAAGATTGCGTAGCTCACCTGGGGGATACGCTGTTTGACCCGAGCATCATCACTGCTACTCTCGGCGACTCTCCCGCCAAATGTGTACAACGCTTCTGCGCAAAGAAGTGGAGAAAATCCCAGAAATACTGAGAGCTTTTTGGCTTCAGATTCGTATAATGCCGAAGGCGGAGCCAAGTTGTCCATAATATATCCAGTCTATAGTCAGGCACCAACCATAAAAGGTGCAAAGTTCCTGATTCATGACTTTCTGGGACAATGTTTACAAATTTTAGAAGGTTACCATGGAACACTGATATAGCTAACTGGTTACATCATTTACAGCCAGATATTATGTAATATACGTGATGTACTGAGGCGTTGTTCTTTCCAAATATCTCTGCACCTTTTGAAGTGAAAGTGGGCCCTGAACACACCGTGTAAGAAAAGAGTTGGGGGGGGGGGGGGGGGGGTAAGAAGCTGTTGGTTGGTGTGCACATACCAGCGAGGTTTTGGTATTAGCATGCTGTAAAAAGAACAAATCCAGGATGTAGTGAGGCAATAAGAGCTGAACGTAATACGGCACGAGGACATGGCAAACCTCAGCGAATTACTCAGACGCTTTAAAATAAGAGCCAAAGTTCATGGTACTGTATGTTCACACAGGATTCCGTGGTTAATTATTACACAAGTTATGCAACTGAGAATCACAGCCAAAAACAAAACACTCAGGATAAGCTAACGTCATAATCAGCATTATCACTGCTGTGAAACCCTGGAGGAAGAACAAATAAAGACAAAAAAACATCTGACAGTGATGCACGTCAGGAGAGGACAAAGACAGGGCATCTCAGGTTAGGGGGAAACTGCTGCTCCTCCTCCTCAGCTCACTTTAGGCTCTGGGTGACAGGAACATAAAAAATGTAAATAGATTTGGTTCTCAGTGCAGATCAGTGATAAGGGGTGGAAAATCAAGCTCCATGAAATTATAGCATCCTCAAACAGCTGTGATATTTTACCTAGCAACCAAGTGCACCGCTCTGCAGGTGATGCTAAATGTAAAAGGAAGGGTAAGGTCGTCACGGTGCAGCTTTTCTGACCCCTGATCCCATTCTCAATATTGAATATCTGACCAAGCACAGTCCTGATCTGATTCTCGTACTGGCCTTGACAATGACGCTGAATGCCTTTTTTGTTTGCGTTCTAAGCAACTTCTTCTGTTGCCACAAACTTCGCAACGACTGAAATGTTGCGGGACATACCATGGACCAAAAAGATGAGGAAGAGTTATTTGGTGTGAATAACCAACTGCAAAATACGGCACAGATATACTACATTCTGTATATGTGCCATCCACTGCCTGACATAAACAAGGGCGCATAGTATACGATGTTTATCTGTTGGATGTCGTAGACAATGACTTAAGAATTTAAAAAAATGGGTATCTATATCCACATGCAAACGCAAAACTGGACTCTTCCAAAATCTTCACTTTGACAGGAGTTTTCCAATAGCACCATTTTTAATGACGTAGTTTTGTGGTTTTGAGTGGATGGCAGGCCAAAACGTATAAAAATATATTCGTTCTAGTAAATACCTGGCTACATGTTGACAAGGCCTGACTCAGCTGTATTTCTCTGGACTAGGGATGCGCAATGTTGGACATAATGCTTTTACCCATATCCGATATGCCGATACTTTCAAACTATAAAATACAATAATATGTGTAATATATGATAAGCGGCTTACACAGAGTATAGAAATACACCAGATCAGTCCCAGTTACATAAATACACAGCGGCTGATCTGACATTTTTAATAATGTACCACATATACCGGGCGTGGGTGAACATAAAAGAGTTTCTCTGTTGATGTCAAACCTGTTTCAAGATGGTAAAGGTCACAAATTTAACGAACCGAGCAATTTCTGAAACCGTTAACTGGTAATTAAAGTCATTGATCAGACCAAACGTTGGCATGGTGCCCTTCCTTACAGTGCTCATTAATAATGTCTGCAAATCGATTCACAGTCGGAGAGATGCTGACATGAGAAAGAACCCACAGAGTGACGCAAAGCTTCAAATAACTGCTTCACATGTGGCTACCTGAGGAGGAGGAGGAGGAGGGAAATTGGGCTCAGTTATGAAAAGTTTCGGCATGGGCTTTTATCTGTCAATCTTCTATTTCACAATGTCGATGTCTGTTACTATGAATGTGTCCTTCTCTGTGACAACATGGCTAAAAAAAGTCCATTAAACTTTCAAAATAAGGTTTGGATCAAAAAATTTACACTGGGAAAAAAGACAGTAATTACATTTAGTATATTATGGTTTTCTGTAAACCTGTTAACCCCAGTGTGGACTTCCAGATGAGCTCATCACAATCAACCAAACCAGTCTCTATTATGTGATTGTGATGACTGACACACTGGAGGGATCCCCTTGGCTGTGCTGCTGCTTTGGACCTGTTTTTAGGGGTCGTTGGAGCTCATAAAAAGGCCGAATAGATCATCCAGACCTCTGCCATTTGGCTGCGGTGTGAACCTTTGAATGACATCTCACAGTGACATCTGACATTTAGCTCTACTCAGCTTTCCCAAGCAGCGGGCTGACTCACAACTGGATTTAAGTTACGTATTTCCTGAAATGAAACCGAAAGCTTGAAACACAATGAAAAAAAGGTTAGGCGTTCTCATATTGCATAAAGCCACTAAAAATAGGAGTGTATGACAGGCTGTGCATTATACCGTAATGAATCATCATGACTTGCAATTCAGATTTGACATCTTGATTCATAAAACTGAAGTCAATGAATCCAAGATCTTAATCAATATTCTCCCCAGGAGACTCCTGAAACCTTTCACCTTCAGACGGTTGTCTTACTATTTTTCCCATGCAGAGGGTATGTTACAATTGGGTACAAAGGGTAAGTGTGTTTATTATTTTAGTGCATGTTGTTTCTGTTGCCACACCTGATCAGGCAAGTCTCAAACTGCCTTTAAATGTAAAAGGAAAAATACAGACTGAGCCACAGGAGCAAGGTTATACTACCTTTGGCGTCAGCATTAACAGCTATTTATGTTTGCATACATTTACAGTCAACATTAAGTACTGCCAAAACTGTGAGGGACTCAGAGTTTGGTGTAAATACATGTCCTTATCAGTCTTATTAATCATTTATTCGGCCAAACATACATTCAAGAGATATTGGGCCTAAAAGAAGTGGGAACGTTGAAATTTTGTGGACATGAAAGGCACAAAAATCTGAGGGTGAAGTTACAGAAACCAAATCAAGAATACTGAAATAAAGTTGGTATGTTTGGGGTTCTTACAAATATTGATAAAGTTGTTGGTTTAAAACGAAAATGAAAGACAAAAGGAGGTTTATTTTTTACACTCGATTCTCAAAATCACAGTGTGTAGAAATAAGAGTATTCGGTGATGTTTAGCTGTCAGATTGCAAACTGAAATGCTCCCTTGCTCACCCCCTCTCAGGGTGAAGAAGTAAGCATGATTCTTAGTATGCCAAGATATTACCCTTAAAAAAGTGCATCAATAAAAACACTTTGTGAAACACTCTCTTCTCTATTATCTTCACTGTGACATTTTTGTTCAGCCACTCAGTAAATACAAAAAGGTGATTGTTACTAGTTTGACCATGATGTGATATTGTATGCTAGTGCAATATATCAGCCCCCACGGAAGGGCACCTGATCCTATGTATACTAAAATGCTCATTCTGAGTTTTCAAAAACATGACTATTTGTACATTTAGGTGATTCATTCAAAAGTAGTTGTAAATATTATGTTCCATTTCTACCAAGTTTGTTCTACTACACCCCACTAAATCAGCACCCCCACACACTGTACCTTCAAGAGCGTAGTGACAAGAGTAAATCCAAAGTGTCATTTACGTCATTGAAACAGCTTTTGAGCGAGATAAGATAAACTGGGTTTAGGTCCTGGACAAGACAGAAAAGACATCTAATGGAAATTTGTTTTTGCACTTTGCGAATGAACCGCATTTTTTTTCAAGTATCGTCAAAAGTCATTTATTGTTTCCCATATTTAGTTCCAATACTAAGAGATGTACATTATACATTATACATACTCTTTAAATCCAAAATAAAATAATGTTTTCTACTCTGCTTTTTGTCTTATGTCTGGACTTTACTGTCTTCTGTATAAGGGATGGCAATGGTAAACTGGCTTCATATCAGAGTTTGCCCTGTTAAGGACCCTGTTTATGGCTTATCTGTCTCATGACAAATAATTTGGCATTCACTAATGGAGTAGGTGATATTTATGCTTTCTTTTAATGGGTGTGTTTTATTTACTGTTATATTACCGTATTTTTTCTCAACATTATTTTACAGGGCTGTAAGGGAGACTGAGGAGTCTGTAGGAGCTCTTATTAAAGACAACACTTTTAAAGCTCCTGTGAGGACCTTTTGGCACATGTTCATTTTTCCCTATACATGTAAAATCTGATCAATGTTTCAATCATTGAAATCTTTTGACAAGGATAGTGATTAAAGACGAGCTGTTTCCAAGGATGTCGTTAATCACTTTTCCTCATGCCTACCCCAGGCCTCTCCCCACTTTCAAACAAGAACTGTGTGAGTTTTTACACTGATGGTTTTGTTTGCAGACCAAAATGATAAAAAAAAAACTCATCAACTTCTGTTTTTATAATGACAACTTATTAGGATACCCAAGGCAGCAGAGAACATAACAATTTACCACAACAACAAAAAACTGGTGTCTGAAACCGTTAGATTATGTTTCTATACCAGGGTTGGTATGGGCTGAGTTTTTCTGAATTGGTGAATTATGTTATTTAACCAAAAGTTTCACGTCGACTCTTTTGCTTCTACCTTTAAATTCATTTTTCTTACTGGCTGCACTGAAGGTCGAAATCGAGCAACAGTTTTGTTTCGCTGACAACGAAACTCAAGCTCTTCACCAGCCCACTGATACCAACCCCCTTTTCCCGGTCATCTCTCCTGAGATTCGGTTTTATAGATGAAACTTTGGTTAAATGTCTCCGGCTAGGTCTTAGTGGACTTTACCTTACATAACCCCATCTTCTGTTATAACTAACTGTGGGGTGCACGCAAAAGGGCAAGGTTAAATACACACGGCATCATGTTCTGTCGGTGCACTACTTTCAGTTTCTACTATACGATTGTAACGCAGTCAAAACATTGTGACCCTAAACGCATCACCTAACGTTAATTTCAGCTGTACAGCGGCAGTTATGCCGATTAAGGTGCACGATAACGTTTGATAGTGAAATATACCATTATCGAAATTAAGATGTGGATATTAATATTTTACTAAAAAAAGAGGAGGGAGGGGAAGGGGTCGAAAGAGAAAGGGCATGAAGGACGGGTCCACTCACCTTGTAAGAATCCGTTGCTAGCAGAAAATTAAAATCCTGTGCTGCCATTGTTGTTGTGGGTGAATGAATTAACGTAACGCTGTATGTCACACCAGGCAAATAGACAACCGCCACTGAAGCAGTCCACACCGGGGAGGAGATAAAGGCTGAACGTCGAATAACAGTGATTCCCACCTCAGTATTTCACCTCCAGTACAGTCTAATTCAGTCGTTACAGCACTAACTGGTAAAACACCCTCGGCAGCAGTCACTTTGTAGGTTGGGGGGTTGTTGTAAAGGGGCGGGTTGGTGTATGTACGCATGGCCACGCGCACGTCCGTCCTCACACAGCCTCGTACGTCATGCTGCGTTCACGTACATCCAGGATACTTTTTGGAACGTGCTCCAACATGTCTTGCAACGGAGTTTAGGTTTTCTAAAGGTCAGCACACCTTGTGCATCTTTACAGCACCACGCCTCCTTAGGTCATAACAACCGTTATGGCCTGTGGTGTATTCTCAACAGCATGAAGTGCAGAGGGCTTTCTTTGAGTCCCTGCTGATCAGCTTCCATGTCTTCTTTGCTCTCCATTGCCTGTTGTACCTGCAGCTTCTTCACTCCACATTTGTGCACCACCAGCCAGTTGATACCCTTCATAAACGTAACTTATTTCAGGCATTTTTGACGCTACACGCTGAACATTTATGTAACGGACATGAGGGGAGCTGTGATTGGATAACATGTGTCACTTGATCTACCTGCCTATTACCTGGTGAACTACAGTGACCTTTAAAAAGTTAGAGGGAGGGGTCACCACAGGTCCTCGATGCTTTTAGTTTCTTTCTTTTCTTTTTGTCTTTTTAATTTTTTTTTGTCTGTATATGAAAAGTATTTTTTTTTGGCTTCACAAACACGAAAGCTCACAATACAGAAATAAAACAGAGACAAAAGAACAAGACATATTAATAAAGACGACATGAGATTAATAATAATACATTTTATTTAAAAGTGCTTTTCTGAACACTCAAGGACACTGTACAGGGCATAAAAACACAGACACATATTTAAAATAAATTAAAAAAAAAACATACAAGTGTGAAAGTGGACAGTTTAAGTGAATATGCAATTTGGAATAGGTGTGTTTTGAGTTTGGATTTAAAGTGGGGTAGTGAGTCCATGTTTCTGAGGTCCGGGGGGAGAGAGTTCCAGAGTTTGGGGGCAGAGCGACTGAAAGTCCTGCTCCCCATGGTGCTGAGCCGGGCAGAGGGGACAGAGAGGTGGAGGGAGGAGGAGGATCTGAGGGAGCGTGAGGGGGTGGCGATGTGGAGGAGATCGGAGGTAAGGGGGAGCAAGGTTATGGATGGCCTTGAAAGTGTACAGAAGGATTTTGTAGTTGATTCTGGACCTGACGGGAAGCCAGTAAAAGATGAAATGACAAAATCATAAAAGGGCAAGTACTCAGAGCGATCAAAATCAGTGACCATACAGAGGAAACATTTTTTTTCAAATCTCATCTTTAATTTAAAGTCTCACTGCTGAATTTTGCGCTATGTGGAGGCAATTTTCTGATTCATACCTATTAAAATACCATCACAGTAATCTAATCGTAAGGAAATACAATCATGAATAAATGTTTGGGTGTCATTAAATGTCTGCACAGATCTTACTCTGGTGATATTTCTTCGATGGTAAAAGCATGACTGGATAACTGTGTATGTTCCTAAAAAGTAAGATAGCTGTCAAGAGTAAATCAAAGGTTTGTTACATTTTGCTTTAAATTGAGTGAGAAAGAACCAAGGCAGGACTGAATTTTGAGGGTGCAACTCCGCTAAACCAAATGAGTATATACGTCATTTCTGGGTTTAATTTTAAAGGGGCCATGGTATGAATAACTGACTTTGTTAACGGGAGGGGGGTGCATATCAGGGATACAAAACCGCTACAATCCCCTCAAGTTCGAAAAAATTCCATCCAGTCGTTTTTTAGTTATCTCCGTATATAGGAACTGTGTGCTCAGAGCCGTTTTGAAAACTCCACTGACATAACGTCATGTCAGTGCTGGCAGGTTGATGGTACTGCCCATGGAGCCGCCCACTGCCCTGCCCACTAAATTATCTAAACAGCGCCATTATTCCCGGCCACTCACCCACATAGCTCCGTTTAGAACCATGGCGGAAGTACGATCTGAAAAAGAGGCAGCATTTGCTCTGTTGTTGGCTGCACAAACGAGCACAAAACTCTTTTGAAAACTCCCTCGTCGGAGGATTTAAGGACTCAATGGGTGGATTTTATTTATAATGGGAATGTACCCGCGGCACTTCCAACATATCTGTACGTATGTGCCCACCATTTCACTTCAGACTGTTTTATCAACGAGGGACAGTTCAACGCTGGATTTGCTAGATGTCTGAGGATAAAGAATGGATCCGTACCAACTATCCGTGATCCTACTACAAACGTGGCATCTGTAAGTATGAACGTTTTATTTTGACTTACTGTTCAGCCTAAATTCCCCACGGTGCCTCAGCACGGCCACCACGCTTTGATAAACACACCGGATCCGCGCCGGTTTACCGGATCCTCCCGTATTTTAGCCGCTCGCTTCTTCCTCAACAAATCCGGCGGCGGGGGACAAAATCCCCCTCTGGAGCAGCATGTAGCTTTAGCATTTACCGGTGCGGTTCTTTTGGCTCAAATACGGGACGTCCCGGCTAATGCTGGACGGTCGGCCATCCTATTTATTAGCAAAGGCTTCAGAGAAGTTTTAGAGCACCTTACATTGTAGCAGAGCTCTGGTTGTAATTTTTTCTACATTCATATCTTCCTCCTTAAGCGTGACCCCCCTGGCCGCTTTGAACGCGGCTAAGAGTTTCTCCCGGAGCCTCTCCCTCTGGGTCAGACTCTGGCTCAAACTGGTAGGGTTGTACGAGCGATCTTTTTGCAGCCATGACCGAGCCAGTGTAAACATTAGCACATGGCTATCGGAGCACAGCCGCAGGTCCTTCCAGAGAGATGGGTGTAAAGTGGACGTGGCTTAGGTGCAGCTCATTTCTGGTATTTGACAACTCTATCCGAGTTACCCGTTCTGGCAAACCGACTGGGCAGCTATGCTCGGGGTCTGACAAGGATGACATGGTAGAGGCCATTATCCAATGAAACACCTGGAAATACGCTGGCTTGCCGGTTTAGCTAGTACCCTGCAACAGCTGTAAACTAACGTAGAGCAAAGTTGTGCAGTGCATCAAGCGTTTGAAGGTTGCCCTGAGTGCTGACATAGGTAGTAAAATATAAATAGATTACTGTTGCAATGACTATTAAAGACAGTCGAAATTAAACGAAAGTGAAAGATCTCCAAATTTTGTTATTATACTTGATTAAAGGGGGAAAATGACCACTTAAAATAGTAATCCCTACCTTTGAGATCTTCTGTACCAATAATGTCCTAAAAATGTTATTGTGAACTGTGGAATTAATAAATATCTGATTTCCCAAATCTGAAGTTCAGAGGGCTGTTTCTGTGCACCTGTTGATTATGTGTCAGAATGATGAGCATCATCTATGTCAATGTAGCAAACATATAGCAAACATCACAAAAATGGAGAGCTGTAAACATGTGGTCCAACAAGAAGGTCCTATAGTCCCTTTTAAAGACACTTGATGGAAAAAATTTATCAGTTCTGTATTTCCATGGAGAGATGTTGGTTCACTTGACAGTTAAGTGGCAGAAGAGGCAGTACAAAGATTTAATCTGGAAAACCAGGTTTGTTGTTGTTGTTGTTGATGTTGTTGTTGTTGTTGTTGTTGTTGCTATCACTGGAATCTTGATTAGTATTATTATTAGTATTAAAAAAACAAACAAACAAAAAAACCCCCATAAATTTTACTCTTCTCGTTCGCATGCTCTACAACACTTAACTCATATTTGCACAGTATCATGGGTACAAGCTAGCACCTTAATACCTCTTTAAAGTAAGCCAGGGTTAAACCAAAGCAGGTATTATTCTCTCCGGGGCACCATAGTTATCCACATAGCTCACCTGTTCTGTTCTGGAGAAAGTGTTTGTGGATGATCACATAATTGAACTGTCAGTTTGCATAAGCCAACACCAATAAACCCTCAGGTATAATTAACCATGTTGGTTTTTCTGTGGGTGTCTAAACAACAAAGAGACTGACAAAGGACTGATTCAAAGGCCCGACAGACACAAGAAGACTTGAGTCTGACACACTCTCTGACACACAAGTTATTTACAGTCACAATAGTTCACTTACATAAAATGTCTTTGGCGTCACTGTTTGCAAAACTATAACTAGATCACAGAGCACTAAAGACCGACTTAAGGGTCCTAGAGGATAGCTTGGACTGTTACTTAATAAGGTTATTTCCTAGGTTCAGCTGCTCCAAAATTTAGCTGACAAAGACCAGCCTACATAACTCCCATTTTTGGATCTCTGAGATGACTTCCAGTATCTGGAAATGATTTTAAGCGGTTTTATGAGATAAAACCAACAATGGTCTTGCTCAAATCTGTTTATCAGACTTCTTAAAAACTTCTGAACTCATGGCAGCCCTGAGGTCTTCAGGCTGTGTACTTTTTTCATGGTGCCAAAAGTCAGAAAAAGACTCCTAAGGGGGGCAGCTCTTTATTGTTATGGCCCACATCTGTGGATCAGCCAACCTAGGGCCCAAGAAGCCATATTTACTGAATCAAACTCAAGACCTAGTCTTGTTTTAGTCTTGTTTTGAACTGAGATGTGTTGTAGTCCATCTTATATAATTCTTTATTTGTGTACTTATCAGATCTCCTTTTAGTCTGTTTAAGCAACTCTAATTTTAATTGCATTGTTTACATTTGTAATATATTTAAATTTTAATTAGATAGTCTTATTATTTTTTAAACAATGAAAATAATAATCATAAACTAATCTACAGTATTTTGTTATTATTAAAGCAAACACTGACATGTGCACAAAGGGAAGTTAATTTCCTGCAGACAAGCTAGGCTTCAAGCCAGAATGAAACTCATGGATGAAACATCACCGTTACTGTCTAAATATTAGGTTACTTGTATTCTGCTCCAATTTTTTTTATTTTTTTATTTTTATTAATTTTTTTTACCAGAAATTGCTAAAAAAAACATAATGTTTTTTCTCCCTATTGTCTGTGTTGTTCTAATGCTTACTTCTAGATGAGCTCATTAATGTTCATACACTGCTGTGTGAACCATGTTTGACTACCTGAAGTATAAGGGGTCAAAGGCTGGGAAGTTTGGTAACATCTGCATAATAGAAAAGGATCATTTGGACTGGTGG